ATTTGGAGCATTTTTATTTTTTGCGCGCGCGGTGACGCGCGGACGTACGCATGCGCGCGCGTTTTCTGACCTGAAATTGACCGGACGGATATTGACCTTAATCGTGATAAATATGAATGGGAAATGCCTTTCCGTTATAAAGATATGATCATGAGTAAAAAGTACCAAAAAAAAACACAAAATGGCGCCTGGATGACGTCATGAAAACTTGATGACCTTGAAAATGTTACTCTAACGTCTCATGACAATGACCTATGACTGTGCCAAAATTGAACGAAATTGACTAAACTGATCTTGAGTTATCCTGTTAACAAAAAAGTGTGAAAATAAATAAAAATAAATAATAATAATAAAGAAAGAAAATTCTGACGAAAACAATAGGTGATCTGTCGTTGACAGACCACCTAAATAGTCCACAAAAGTTGAAGGTAAAAAATAGGGGGAAAAATAGTTTATGCTTGAAAATAGGAAAAAAATAGGACTATTTTTTTCCTGTTTTCTTATAGGAAATAGGAAAAAAATAGTCTGAAAAAAAATATAGGTGAAAAAAATAGGGAAAAAATAGTTTGTACTTGAAAATAGGAAAAAAATAGCCCTATTTTTTTTCTATTTTCTTGAAGGAAATAGGGAAAAAATAGTCTGCATTTCCAGAAAATAGGGAAAAAATAGGAAAAAAATAGGGGAAAAATATATTTTCGCAACACACAAAACTACTAGGGGTTGTATGTAAAGCTGATTAGTTTAAAGCTCTAACTAATCAGCTTCAAAGAATTTTCCCCCTGTGTGAAAGCGGGGATATTGTGATTCCTTATACGCCATTTCTTAGTACAGGTTTCATTTACCCCCCCCCCCCCACAGTGCAAACAGGCCATTTGATCTTTGATTTGAAATAGCAAAATAGCTACCACCATCATGATCAGTGAAACGATGTTTATGCCTCACAGATAATAAGAGATTGGTCGGACTGCTCTCCAGCTTATTCTCATCCTTACCATCAATCTCATGTAGTCTTGAAGATTCAGACACTCTGAGTGAAGATTTATGTCTGAGTGTGTACCGATTTACTTCTTGCTTCAAGATATTGTCACTGAGAATCATTCAGTAGTTTTACATGTATGCCCACTTCCTGTTATATAGATTGTTTTAAAACATGTATGTTGGTTTAAAAACAAGGATAGGCCTTCTAATGGATGATCTCCTAAATGTTCTCTTTAAAAGAAAAGTCAGCAGTAAATGAAACTCCAATTGATACCCGGTAGTTATCTTGCCATGTATCTAATAGAATTCATTTGGCAGGCCAGCAAGGCTAAAGCTGGGGTAATAGAATTCCTGTGCCTATGAAAGTTAGGGTCCATGATTAGATGAACATTAACATGGAATAGAAAACAAGTGCATTATTTTAAAAAAAATGATGGAAATCAAATTTTGATGAAATTTTCCTTTTCATAGAAACTAATTTCTTTAGTGTTAAATAGATGAGTAATTGAAGTCTGAATATTGAGACTTCCTGCAAAGTGTAGGAAATTCATCTCGACCGAAAAGCCATTAAAAACTTTCAACAGCACTTATTTATCGGACCATGCTGCTGCATGCATGAACCACCCATTTGTCAGCATTAGGCTCGAATAACCTCCATCAGTCACTGCGTAGAAATCCCAACCAAGTAGGTTTTTATAATGCATTATAATGCATTATAAATGTAGGTCTACATCAGTTGTGTGTACCTCATGGAGGGTGTAACTGCAGATGATGGACATCAAATTTGTACAACCCTCCTATTTAGAGGAGAGTGGTGTGTGATTGTGAGGGGGGGGGGGGGGTTGCAACAGCTGATCTAGGAAAATAATGAAATTGACAAACATGTAGAGGACTACCGTACATGTACAACCATTGCATGTCGCTCGTGGAGAAAGTGACTGCAGAGGGAAGACATAAATTTGTATGGCCTCCTCTTTAAAGAGCATTTAGTGTGTGCACTGTGTGTGTGTGGGGGGGGGGGGGGGGGGGGCTTTTTCCACATCTGATTGAAATTTGATCGTAACACTACAGCGGGATGCTACCTCATAATCTTAAATCAAGAGAGCATGTCTCAAAAGTCAATTGATTCAGCCACGTTCTTCACTTTGCACTGACAGTAGGGATTTCCTTTCCATCAAACTGCCTTCAGTTTGAGTTACTGCCTCCACATTAGATATCCAGGGATGTGGAAAAGCATCTATGGCTGTATGCCTGTATGTGATGCCATATTGTGCTGTAGGCTTATGATTCTTAGGTGTACAATATACTCAAATTTCCAACAGCCTATTCACACACGAGTAAAATTCTTTAAAGCTGATTAGTTTAAAGAGAAAAGTCAGGAATGTGTTAAAAACTAATAGTTTTTTACTTGGATTGTGAATGCCCCTAATCTTTATATTTGTTGGGTCTTTCCAGTTTCGGCTGAATAGGTTAACCTTGTGTTAATGTGTGATGAACGATAGCTTAGGGGCCCCTGTACCTGAAATTATTGTGAGATAAGCATTTTTGTATTTAAAAGGTAAAGACCAGTTTTGGAAACGCCCCCCTCTCAAAAAATGAAATGGAATCTCTTATTACCAATGATGTGAAAGAATATGTTTTGACTAATATGAGATGATACAAATTTTTGCCGAGAAACCGCCTACTAATTGATATATTTGCCTTATTTGGTAAATTGTTATATCTATCTGGACCAGATAGATATCATGCACGTGTCGAGTAGTTCCATATACATCTTTCTGTGTAAAGTTGAAACTTTACCAAGACTAGGCCAAATTTCTTATCATTTTGATGATTCCAGAACCTTGCAGTACACACCAATACCTATATGCCAGAGGATCAACCTTTTCTGATCGATTCCACAACGTTTCTTTCACAATGCAATCGCATGACCCAAACTGGTTCTTATCTTTAAGCCTGATCATTCTTCATTTCTCCCATGCCACAATAGCAATTCATAGATTTGCATGAGTCATCATTACTCATTATGATAAGAAGTTCCTAAAAATATGTTCTCACTGTAAAATAAACTGGTAGGCCTAGATGTAGTTTACTGAATGGCATGGCATAGACCGAACCCTGTCATCTGGCTCTGCACTGTTTGAAGGAAAACAGATAAAGTCAGCAAACAAGCTAAAAATAAACTACTGGTACATTTGTATATTTCTCCACCGTGAATGCTTGTAAAGTCAAAAGCCTGGACATGATGAATTACAAGTAAACAAATGTCGGGTAGGATTTGTATCTGTTTTGTCATTGTTGCAGTAGTTGAATACATAACCCTGTAAAATTGAACTTATCATGGGATATATGTAGAGTAAAATGAGATTAAACTGAGACATGCGTTGGTCTATCTGAAGATCATTGTATCATATTACATCTTTGCATGTGGTTGTTGAGCATGAATGCTTTCTGACTGTAGGTAGAGGCACAATAACTTTCAATCATTCTGTCATCCAGGTCACTTAAAAGCTTTGTTAAAGGTTTTACAAAGTTTTGGTATGGGGTCATGAATTCGGTTCAAATTAAAATATTGGAAGCATATGCGTTCCTACAATATTCATTGATCGTTGTCGCGGTTGAAATCGAGTCTGAAGTTATGAAATTATAAATAATAAACTATTTATGTTGTATAGCTCCCTCTCAAGGTCAAGATATTAATTTAGCTTTGAAACAATGTTTCTTGACTAAAATCGACCGATTAGCTACTCCCGTTTGGAAATTATATATCACAACTACATATTCTGAGATTTTCATGGTCGCAGCTACCATTGTACGGCCATAGGCGCTATTTGAAATTTATCAAAATTTACAGGGAGCACCGGTAAATTTTTATATTCAATTTTTCTCGAAAACAGGTGTTTTAGGGGCTAATTTTTTTAGTGCTTATAATACATCCACAGGGGCATCCAAATATATCAAAATTGTAAAGATTCCCTATCCACCCAATTTTCAAAATTCCCCAAAACTTTGTATTACCTTTAACATATGATGTCTTAAATAGGCTTTAAAATACTGCACATGGCAAAATAATATAATACCAGCATGGTGTGATTACACATGCGATATGATCAAGCCTTTATTGGACACCTACCTAGTTGTTTTTTTTACTCCTTCTTGCCATAAAATGTCCTTCCCCCCCCCCCCCCCATGGCAGTTTTAGTAGTTGCTTTATCATGTCATGTCTGACAATTAAAGCCCAAGTCCACTCCAATTATCAAAAATTATAGCATGTTGTAAATAAATCAAAGGTTAAAAATGCCAAATACCATGGGCGTACTTCAATCAGGTGATTTTTAAGAGCGATTCTTGTTTCGTTTTTTTCGAGCAAAACATTTAAATCGCTGCACGTATGCGACGTATGCTCCTCACCACGTAGTGCCAGCAGTATAAATTCTGTCAATAGGCTATTTTCGTAATGTAACCAAATAAAATGCATATAATCTTTGTGAAGTGCCTCTATACAAACTATTTCATTCACCTGATAAGAATAATAGTATTTTGATAGACAATAAAATCCGAACTGCAACAGTAGTCGTTGCCAGGTAGGACAAACATTATGGCTTGCCCTAGCAACATTTAATATATGCAGTTTGCTTTTGGACTGTTAAAATTCGTATCGGGTGAATGAAATAGTTTGTATCGAAGCACTTCACAAAGACGTATTCATTAATTTGGTTACATTACGAATCTGTGTGGTGAGGACCCTACATCACAAAAAATGCATTGTGGGGGAGAACCGGCTCCATCATTTACTTGTTTTTTGCTCATTAAACAAAATTATTAAAAACAAGTATGAGCACCATTTTCCAATACCAAGTTATATTTGGGCTTTTTAGATTTTTGTCTTTCTAATCAGCTCAACTTTTCAGTGGAGTGGACCTGAATTCAGCTTCAGAATGTTTCTTGATGTAAAAATATAAAGTGCTGTTTCAAAAAGAGAAGTTCATAGTTTAGGTATGTTACATTAATGCTCATTACAGGTGGCTTTTCAAGGATGGCCTACTTCCTAAGAAGACAACGTTTGTTGGATACGCTAGGTCCGTCATATCCATCGATGAGCTTAGGAAGAGAGCTACACCATACATGAAGGTATGTATACAGGCTTCAATACACCAGTTTACGGTTGTGTGCGCCGTTTTAAACAAAGCCAATGACCTAGAGGTCATGTATTTATGCGTAAATTAAGATTGCGCCCATGCAAATTATGATGATATCACTGCCTACGCGCTGCGTTGTGCGCGCAAATCATCATTTGCTTGGGCGCAATCTTAATTTACGCATCAATACCACTGGTCAAAGGTCATTGGCCCTGAATTCAGGGCCAATGACCCGAGGTCAACTGTCTGCGCATGCGCACTGATGCAACTGTAAACTGGTGTATTCTATTCTGTGGTGGCTTTGAAGAGTACATCATACCATGGACCTATTACGGATAGACATTCAACATGATTCTTTCTTTGATCCAATGATAGTCGCCGCCTTCTGATTATGTGCATCTTAATGAGAACATTCAGCTGTTTTAACAATAACGACTGCGTAAGCATTTTCGGTCATTGACAAAGGAGCAGTTTCCCTCTCTTGGGTTTTGTTTGGATGGTGTGCTCTGTAAGAGTGTGTCTTAAATGAAAGCATCCCCAATGGGGAGCAGCAAAGTTGAAAAGCAGACGATTTTGGTGATATGAAATGTATTATTACTGATTCGCAAACTTTCGCACACACCTATGACCGTATAAAACAATTAGAAGGCCATGATCTGTATCAGCCCTGCGCGTTGTAACTCTGGAATATTATGAGGAAATAGGGGGAAACGGGATTTTACATCACAACCCCAAAATAAAAAAATCACCTCTATCTGGTAATATCAACACGTTTCTCAAATACAATACATGTTCAGTACACGGAACAACAATTTCTGATTTTAAGCCAGAACTGCACATCGATTTTCCATGATTTAGGCAAGTAATTATCTTCTGCGCATATAGATTAACATGTGTAAAATCACTATCTTGATTCTGTCCCGGCTTTTTGGCGGTGACCATGATGAGATCCAAGTGAAGAAACATGAACGGAATGTTATTGAGACGACATTGACGGAGACAATCACAATGAATTCGTTAAGAAACCAATGAATGTCCATCCGTAATAGGTCCATGATCATACCAATGGATAGAAGAGGTAGACAGCACCATTTGCTTTCTGCCATTTTTGGTAATTTTCATGAGGCAAGATCACCTGTAGCATTACAATAAGAAAAATTCCCTAATTTGTCATTGTAGAACATGATTTACATAAACAAAAAAATGATGCCATACATTTATTATGTCTTCCCTTTTTGTTGTCTTTCCTTTTTCCACTCTACTATCCTCTTCTCTTCTCTCCTCCTTTCTCTCTTTTTTCTCTATTTTTTCTCTCTCTCTCTCTCTCTCTCTTTACTTTCTCTCTATCTCTCTTTTCTTACTTCCATCTCTCTGTCTACTTATATATTCAGTTAAAAAAGACGCAAATCTCAAAATCTAATGTAAAGAATTAGCTACTGAGGATAACGAGTAGTTTGCTTGGCTCTACACCAATCCAGGCCTTCTTCGTCTTTTTACTTAAAAAAAATGTTTTTTCATCTTCAAAAAGAAAAGAAAAGAAAAGAAAGAAATGGCAGGCAGTTCAATGTAGCCTTGATATTCACGCTTGCCTCCATTCATCAATGTTTTGATTAGTTGACATTGGGTGAGTAAAGTCAACTACATGTATGATAATGGATGACATAGAAATTGGGTCAAAAAAGCAATCTTGTTATCCCATAATTGAGCACCATCAAAAGAAGCCACTTGCTACTCTCTCTCTCTCTCTCTCTCTCTCTCTCTCTCTCTCTCTCTCTCTCTCTTTATCTCTCTGCTTTCCTCATCTCTCTTTCTTTCCCCATCTCTCTCTTTCTTATTTTCCCTCTCTTTTTCCACTTAGGACATTGAGTTCAAAAAGTCACAAATCTCAAAATCTTATGTCAAGAATTTGCTACTAAAGATAACAAAAAAAAGGAAAAGAAAAGAAAGAAATGGCAGGTAGTTCATTGTTTCCTTGATATTCACGCTTGCCTCCACTCATCAATGTTTTGATTGGTTGACATTGGGTGGGTAAAGTCAACCATGATAATGTTATAGAAATTGGGTCAGGAAAGCAATCCTTTTTTCCCATAATTGAGCACCGTCAAAAGAAGCATTGTTTGATCAATCACACTACTTGGCCTTGTCACCCAGGCATGTGTAAGGTGATGTTATGGAAATAAGGGTTGTATTGAATTATGAAGCAATAATTCAATCAGTACAGTGCACATAGATTCATGTATCACATGCAGTTTGTATACATCATTTTTGTGAAATATTGATAAACAGTTTTAAAAGCCTGCTGGATTAATGAAAAAAATTAGGGAATTTTATGAACAGGGCTGTAGATTTTTTCTCTCTTATGTAATGCGTTGTTTTTTCATGAACACCTAGTATACTTCTGTTATGTTCATATTTTAGCGTGTAGCGAAGTATGAAAACTATGTTATCTCTTATGTGAAGGGAAACAATGTTAATTGTCTTAAAGTCGGGTAATGATATGATTGCAGGGCCCTCAGGGAGAACAGTATGAATACTGATGAGGCTACCCTGGGTAAACAAGACATATTATTATTATTAAGCTGAAATTTCACATTTTCACTCAAACTCTTACTATTGTATACATGTCTTTTAAACTTTACCCAAAATCGGTCAGCTTTGTGCAGACACTACTCAATGGCTTGTCATATTTATTTTTTTGTATTTGTATGACAATTGGTATTGTGTTATCACCCCAGCTCTTCACAACCTTGTTTGATATCATAAAAACAAACAAAATAAAAGTTTAAAAAATATCCTGCTATTGCTTTCATTAAAATGTAATAGCCATTCTGATTTTGTCCTCTTTCCAAAAAAAAGTATTGAGAGGAAGATGACATAAATTCTCAAACATGGTTTGTTTGTTTGTCAATGGTTGATTATGTCTCTGGTGGCACTAATTAAGGACTGCACAGTGCAATTCATTATATAACCTGATTCATTAGAGACTTAATTTCTACTGCAATGCAATTTATTGTAATTTCAATTCCTTTGACAATTATTGTAGGACTGCTTATTAGTGCCACTTACCGGTAGTATTTTATTTGTTTGTAATTGCTTGACTGCGGTTACCATAATATAATTAGTCTTTGTTTGGCAAATACCAAATCCAACTTTAGGGCAATTTTTTAAAAGCTGTATTCTGGTGTAAATGTGTATCTCAATTAATTTTGTATTTTTGTGCAACAAATGTGTTCATGGTTTCACCTTGATCGAGTGGCATATGACTACACTGATTGAATTGTATGCAGATCAGAGAAAAACAGTCAATGAGGAAGAGAACAGATGGAGAAAAACTGAAGTTGATCACCCCATCCACCCCCCCCCTCCCCATTCAAGGCTTTTCCTTATCCAAAGTGCACCATGATCTGTTGTTCAAGGATTAGACTATTTAGTCATCAAACAATGATGATGTCAAAGCAAAGTAAAAGGCCATCATAGCAGATTTAGAAACATATTCTGTAAATATAATTTTAATAACATTAATATTAAAATTATGATAACAACATATCATTGTTTCTGCTGTTTTTCAGATAAAGGATGGCGAGGAGGAGAAGCTGAATGAGTTCTTCAAGGCCAACCGTTACGTCAAGGGATCCTACACCGATGCTGCAGAGTTCGAACACCTCAACGATGTCATCAAAACCATAGAGAAAGGACAGAAGGCCAACAGGCTCTTCTATCTTGCTCTTCCCCCCTCTGTCTTCAAGGATGTAACGGCACACATCAAGACAGCATGTATGGCAGAGAAGTAAGAGATTTATCGACAAAATTATTCAATATATTCAAATTTAGAGATCAAATGGGATTGCTGTTGATCATCATATTTTTCTTTTTTTTTCCTTTTTTTTTAAATAGGTTTTTAAATTATTTTTATCAGAAATCTTTTTGACATTATGATGATTAAGGAAAAAAATGGGCAAGATTATGTTACATTATTCATAGATGTTCAAAAATTTGGTATTTGTTTTTTGTTGTTGACAATTCTTAAGATTATAATGATTAAGGATAAATTTGAACTTCATAGATGTTCAACAATATACTGTTTGTAGCATGATTGTAATTAAATGATGATGGTGGTTATGGTGATGATGAGTGCAGTGATTGATTGTGATGGTGATATACTGTAGATGATTGCAGTAGTGATATTGATATGACTTTGACTGATAATGAGGTTGTACATGATTGTGATGATGATGATGATGGTGATGATGATGACCCGCCTTCAGTTTAGTGTCAGCACCAGCTTTGGTAGTTTAGAGAAACCATTAGTAGAATAATAAGTCTTCATATTCTTGAGACAAGGCATAAGAATTGTATGAATTTACTTTGAAATATTGGTACAGAAAGTATTTATACGTTCATACAGTGTACATCCTTGAAGATATGATAGGAGGTAAGTAACTGAACAATATTTGTAATTAAAAGGGTTGTTTGACTAGTTGTGATTATTTGTTCAATCCCCAGTGGCTGGACCAGGGTAATCATTGAGAAGCCGTTTGGACGTGATCTTGAATCCTCCTCTCAGCTGTCTAATCACCTTGCAGGCCTGTTCAACGAACAGCAGCTCTACCGTATCGACCACTACCTCGGCAAAGAGATGGTCCAAAACCTCATGGTGCTAAGGTGAGCAAGAATTAGTTTGCAGGCACAGACCCTTGTCAGCCGTATTGCGTGACAGTGGGTCTGTATTGTGAGATCATGTAGACTATATGATCTCGTACACATAGGCCCTGTAGAATAGCTGCTCCATCAATGTTAGCACAGCTAGAACCTGTCAGATTTAAGCTGGGCTCAAGGATTTCTGCAATTGTGTCTAAGTGTTAAATGGAATCGGTGCCTGCAGAATAAACGAGAATAATGATTAGTTCATATCCTTCATCGACCACTACCTTGACAAGCAGATGGTTCAGAAAAACAGTTCCAATGTAGCAGATCACCGTAAAACCACAAACAAACAAAAATAAATGAATAACGAGATTGAATTTTTGCCGTTTTTGATAGGTTCTTTGCAGCAAAATTTACTGCCTTTGATAAATTGAATAAGTTTCATCTTACGAAAGTTCTGGTTGTGCAGTATGTTCATCCTTCATCAACTATTACTTCAACAAGAACTAATATCATAGTGATTATTTTTCTATTTTGTAAAAATGTATTCATGCTTTTTGGACAATCATGTGAAACAGTTGATAGTGTTACAAAAGATTGATCATGTGTATCAACAGCGTTGAGATTTTAACGTTTGATATCCTCTCTTGTCTATAAATCATCAGAAAAGACAGATGAAATAAGAAAAGCCTCTTTTAAATTATTTTGCTGAGTCTTCTCCAATTACATGTATTAAATGTAGCAATGCAAGCAATGAAAGAAAAAGATATTACCTTTTCTCTCAACTCGTTTTCCCTTGTAGATTTGCCAATCGTATGTTCAGCCCGATCTGGAATCGAGACAGCATCGCTTCCATCGTCATCTCCTTCAAGGAACCTTTCGGCACACAGGGTAGGGGAGGCTACTTTGACGAGTTCGGAATAATCAGGTCAGTGAAATCTCTCTAAAATGTCAATCAAAAATTATTACCATCATTGGAACAATCCAAACAGACTGAAAAAAACGAAGAAATACTGTCACGGCTTGATAACTTGTACATGTACATGTATATATTTGAACTTCAATGTAGACCCATGGATGACATCTCAAAAGTGCTTTATACCCGGTGGAATTTGGGGCTTTGGCGTGTTTTTTAAAAAACTACTATTACTAAAGTTTAAATGTCCATCTAGTAAGCAGCGTGTCTTTGAAAAAAAGAATTGCTCCTGTCGATTGTCTTATATCTGTAGTATGTAATTATTTCAGTCTCCTTTCTCTCTTCCCCTCTAGACCTACTAACATATACAGGTATACAGGAAACTGTACCCATCTAATTGTAGACTGTCATTCTCTATATTTTTAGATGTACACATACATGTATTCTTGTAGGTTTTATGTTGTAATTGTCTCAAGGGGAGCTCTTTACACACTGAGTTAAGACGTTTGATTGTATTTTCTTGTCGACAGGGATGTAATGCAGAACCATCTCCTTCAGATCCTGTGTCTGACTGCCATGGAGAAACCTGCCTCCACGGGAGCAGAGGACATCAGGAATGAAAAGGTGAGCTCAGAGATGAACCCTGGACAGGCCGGGGTACTCTAAGCCCAACATTCCACACCCTCCCCCCCACCCCATCCCCCATTCCTCCATTCCCCCCGTTCCTCAATTCCCAGGATCTCGGCCATGGAACGAAGACAAATTCTGAAACTTGGCATACAGATAGTCTATCTCATAAAGAGCCCATGAAGATTCATAATTATTGATAAAACTTTTTGAATTATCGCTGACTAACCATTCATATATCCGTGAATGGACACTTCTGCATTGTGTACATTATTACATATGTGGAAATGTTATAGAATTTTGTGTTCCAAAGTTATACAAATTGGTTTTTGGTAGGAAATTCATGATTTCATAATTGTTTAAAGGGCTTGTCAACAATAAAAATAAACAAACAATTAAACAAAACTTGTAAGCTGTTATGGTTTTGTTGTGGTTGTATTCATTGATGAAAAATTTCAAATATCTGATCCATGAGCATGCTGTTATTTACTCTTACCGGTTCACAGGTCAAGGTACTAAAGGCCATTTCCCCCCTGACCGTCGATGACATGGTCTTGGGTCAGTATGAGGGAGACCCAGACGGAGAAGGTGATGCCAAGGAGGGGTACCTAGATGACTCCACAGTCCCCAAGGGATCGACCACACCCACATTTGCCTTCGCCAAGTTCTCGGTGAAGAACGAGAGATGGGATGGTGAGTGAGAGGGCCACCTTCCTTTGGAAATAACCTTGCACTTGATTTATTTGAAATATGAAATACAAAATGCGAAATGCATGGTAGGTATTAAACAATGTCAAGGTAACAGTGAATTTACCATAAGTTCATAAAAGTTGTGTTATTGTTCAGTTTTAAGATATATTGTGACTTTATCAGTTATTTCTTCTGCATCAGAGAGGATTATACATATTTAAGAAAACAGCCAAAGCCAGCCAATCTGGCACAAAATGTTTGGTATAGTTAGCTTTTTGTTGTTGAGTTAGTGACTAGATGCTAATCAAAATATCAATGTATGAAATGTGTTATGTGTCGTTGATTTTTGGTCATTACATTTTTTTTTCTATCCATATTCATTTATTTTCAGGTGTGCCTTTCATGCTTAAATGTGGAAAAGGTAAGTCAATATAGCCGTTTTCTTCAATATGTCATAGTTGCAAATGCTTTCTCCACTCCCAATCCTCATCCTCAATTTAAAATGCATCACTAGCACTATTTGACTACTTTTTCTTTCTTTGACTGGTACTTTCTATTCTCAAATCTTTCATTTTCATTTAGTCATAAACAGTATTTTAGAAATAGGCACGTCCATAGCTTCATTTAAATCCCACTGTAGAGTGATTTAGTACTTGGATTTCCAGAGATTTTGTGTTTATGTTGATACTGTGGTTTTGTTTGAGGGGGGGGGGGGGGTCAGGGCATGCATAACACCATGCTAGAGTTCACTTTGCTACCCTCATTCACATCAACAAGACCAATGGCATTGGAACAACAGACCACACAAGAATCTCCCTAAAGGCAAACAATTAGTCAGTTTGGAGTTATAGTTGGTTTGGCGATTAGAATGAGGTCTTAATTTCATTTGCTAATGCATCCATAATGCATGTATGAGTAATCCTACATTTCTACCTCTTCTGTTCATTCAGCCTTGAATGAGAGGAAAGCCGAGGTGAGGATTCAATTCAAGGAGGTGCCAGGTGATATCTTTGGTAACATCATGCGTAATGAACTGGTAATCAGGGTGCAACCCAACGAGGCTGTTTATGTGAAACTCATGACCAAGAAGCCTGGCATGGCCTTCGGTACCGAAGAGACTGAGCTTGATCTCACCTACAAGTCAAGATACAAGGTATGCAAGATTCTCATCTAGGAGCATTCTATATGTCCTCAGTCACACCAACAAACCAACAGATTTTGGCCATTGAGGGTACTACTACGATCTGTAGTCTGTCTGGTGTCTGTCTCACTGGTGTGACTAAGGTATGGGTTATTCCATAAATTAGGGACTCGCTTTGTGACATTTTTGGTGTCCCACTTACATAAGGAACCCACACATGTTTGTGGCTCTGAGTAAAGACTTAAATAGTGGAGTGAGATTGTTAAGTGATTCTAGTTATGAGGATGCAATATTGTGCTTGGAAATCTCTTTACAATCTCACTCCACTATTTAAGTCTTCACCCAGATACACAAATATGTGTGGGTTCCTTAGTGGGACACCAAAAATATCACAAAGTGGGTCCCTAATTTTTGGAATTACCTGTATAACAGGACAGTGTTTTTTGCATATTATAGCTTGTCAGCAAAAACAGATTTGGTATTATCTAAAGCAAAGACAAACAGCAAAATATCAGAATCATAAGATTAGGCTGCGTGGGCTTATTTTGTTTGTTTGTTTGTTTGCTTTTGTTTTCTGCTTACAGCAAAGATGATTAATTGTTAATTGTAAATTCCTTGTCCTCTTTGATCTAAGAGAACCAGGATATGAGGATTATTAGTACATGTATCCATTCACAGAGGACACGTTTGGTTTCGTTTGGTAATATCTGTGGGATTGACTCGGCTGGCTTTAACACTGGAAACCAAACCTGCATTTTGCACACAGACTTGTATGGAAGAAAGGGTGAAAGTAACTTTGCTATTGACCAAATCTTCATCTGCTGTCTCTTCAGCAATTTTCCCCTCAAGTGATTTCATTGCTAATACAGTCAAACCTGCTTTAGTGACCACATGTCTACAAAGACCACCTGTCTACAAAGGCCACATTTGTTGTTTCCCTTGAAAAGGGTTTCTCATTGAATAATGTACTAAAGGAACCTGTCTACAAAGGCCACTTTTTGTGTTTCCCTTGGGCGGTCGCTATAGACAGGTTTGACTGTAGATCCAGAATAAAGATCATGAGGATGAAAGAGTAATGGTCAAGTCCAAGTATTTCCTCATTTCATTTGGTATTCCATACGTTACCAAGTATTCTGGAGTTCTTAACATAAACTGACATCAAATGTATCATTTCACTTCACACTTGGTCTGATCTCAGCTCTAGCAGGGCTATTGACACAATGATCCGGGGGGGGGGGGGGGGGGGGGGGGGGTGTTTCACAAAGATCCTAAGTTGAACTTATCTCGAAGTTAGACTTAACAATTGTGGAAAGCCGTTGGCATCTATGAAAATATTTTGTAAAAGTTATTTTAAAAGGCATAATATGTTGATTAAAGTCATTCATATTTTCTATTATCAAAGAGATATCATGTTCTTAATGTGGAATTTATAAAAAAAAAGTCTAAAATACTTGAATTTGCTCATCTGAATATATTTCATTTTAAGGCTACAAATGGCTCTCCATAATTTCTAAGTCCAACTTAGAGTTAAGTTCGACTTAGGATCTTTGTGAAACACCCCCCAGATGTAATAAAATTTGGGATGTGATCAGTAACAATCAGGACAAAATAGCGTTGTCTTGCTTTGAAATATAAAGAGAAAGGGTATATTCTCTGATTTTTATCCGATTGCTTTGTACTACAGGATCTCCCCCTTCCTGATGCCTATGAGCGCCTTATCCTGGACGTGTTCTGCGGGAGTCAGATCCACTTTGTGAGGAATGATGAGCTAGCTGAAGCTTGGAGGATCTTCACACCAGTGCTGCATGAGATTGAATCTAAGAAACCCAAACCAATCCCCTACAAATATGGAGGGTAAGCCAAGGGCCTGCATCCATCTGGGTCGTATAGAGTGGCGAAGTGTCATGTCATCAAAAATCTATTTTTCGGAATTTCTCAATTTTCTCATCATTTTCCGAAAGAGCATCAAAAATAATGTCCAAATGTCGAAAACCAATTGAATAGGTTGAGTATTGGCTGAAATATGACCATCTGAAATTACAAAAATAGATTTTTATGATGTCACAGCTTCGGCACTCTATAGGGATGTATTCTAACAACTGATCATGATTGTAAAACCAGCAATGGGCAGAAAAAAATGGATCAAACACTGAATTTCTGTTGACTTTAAGCAGGTGCCAAGTTTGCGTTAATCTTGCAAAAGATGTAATTTCGAAGTGTGAAAATTGACTGAAGTACTTGAATATTTTCATATGATAATATTGGATGTTGTGGTTCATACAATACAGGACATGCTAAACTTGATGAGTAAACAATATTGGATCTGTCTTGTCCAAGATATTTTTTACATGAATACCACGTCTTTGACAACTGTTCATTATCTATTTTGCTGTCTTATTTCATATAGTTTATTGAACATGTTATTTAATAGAATGTATCCTTATTATGCTTTTAAATGCATAAAGTTGTGAGCAATTCAGCTATTTAGCTGCCATGCACAAATAGTATTAACCATAAATAGAATAAGATAAAACCAGAACAAGTTTTTAATGTCAATAACATTTCAATGATTCCACTTGTTTTGCAGTCGAGGGCCAGCAGAGGCAGACGAGATGGCCAAAAAGAATAACTTCCTCTTCACTGGGACCTACAAATGGAACAACCCCAACAAGTAAATCACTATTGATAAGATACTAGCTTGCTTCAATATGAGCTTGCTCTATTAGTACATAGTGTCAAAGATTTGAATGTACATTAAATGAAAAATAATAGGAATATTTCCATATCGCGAGGATCAAAGCCATTGTCTTGTTTGCAGTACTAGACTTTGTAAGATATAAGAGTTTCACCATACACTGTTGACTAGCACAACTTATGTGGTAGTGTGAATTTGAGAGTGTATATTTTTGTTTGATTGGATTAATGTCCATTGTTTTTGGTTGAGTAGATATGGTTTTAAATGCAAGTGATATAACCTGCTGTATTTTTGGTGTGGGCCCTATTTTTGTTCACTCTTATTGTTTTTGCAACAGCGTTCTGTTCACCCTGGGATCACAAAATGTTCTTCTCACGTAAATAAGTGTTCTAAAATCATTTTGATATTTTGGGGATTTTTTGTGTTTGATGGACAAAGATGTTATGTTAATTTTGAAGGATTCAGAGCAGAACTCACGTGCAATTTGAAATTCCAGGATCCAGATGTGTATAACATACAATTCTGAGGAGTGAAAAAGTTTGGAGTACAGTGCTCTTATGAAAATATCGTAATCAGTTCCATTGCAATTGATGTTTTGAATAATTCAATTTACAGAATTCATTTCCAATGAATTAACTGACATGTCATAATCAGAAGGCAGTTTTTTAGAAATATATTTATTCTTACTAGAAGTAATAGGTTTAAAGGTATGAATGAAAGCATATATGGAAAAGGTTGGATCTAAAGTGTACTTACAGCAATATATTATTCATTTCAATTATATGGCGGGGGGATTTAATGATGCTATTTCATTTCATCTCTGTACATAAAATGACCGATGTTTATGTACGTCCTTACAAACAGAAATTACTTTTCTGTGGAGACAATATTCAGAAGAAAAACAATTAACGGGTTGATTTTTAGTCTGTGGCTGCTTATGATTTGACTGCTCTTCCTGGACACTGCTTCCTCCTGGGCTGATTGTGTGTTGTATAATGCTGCTTGGATTACAATTGTATGCGTGTTCCCAAGAACAAAGATGTGAATAAATCAAGAAGTAACAAAACTTGTGATACTGTATTTCACAATTGACAAAATCCCTGCAAGGAAAGGGTTTCATTGATTTGTAAAAGCTGTTATAGGTAGATTCCCCCTCTCTTGGAAGCAATGACCACTGTCTACAGCCTTGAAGAGTGTTCAAGGAATCTTAAAGAATTCAAACAGAGTGGGCATTTATCACTTAAAGATTAACAAAATAATATGCTCAGTTTCATAGCGACTTACCTTTGAGTATTTGTCATAGAATTATGACACTGAAAATTGAAACTATTTTTTCCTTTCTTGCAATTTTGGGAAAATTCAAAATTGTTTAAATGCGACTTAATTTGTCCTAGAGTTTCACCACCCAGATACCGGTAGTACAAAATATGATTCCAGTCCTGTATTTTCCTTTCCCTCCACAGACTGTAGTGTCTTCTCGTCTTCAGTTCGTTACTTCACTGCTCAATGCATCAGGCAGGATTTACTGTGGGGTGGCACAGACTAACACATTTTGTAGTGTATGGGGCTGTCCTTTGGTTGTGCAACTCTTGGGTGATCAAGAACAGTGCAAACTTGACCTGATTGTTCACTCTAGGCACGTGGCCTTTGCAAGATTTCTTGTCATCTTTACAGCAGAAAAGTTGGGTCTTCAGTCTGGCCACATGAAATCCATATCATTGTAAAATGTAAACAAAGTACCGGAAATACATACTTGCTCTCATATCATAATGTCAACTTTTCTCTCAATTCCTCGCAGTAAAATCTCTCTGATTTTGGTTTTTGTGAAGATTTTCACACTAGAAACAGGGTTTTGTCTCACTGAGAAAATAAGTTGCTTGCTTTTACTCCATGTAGGAAATGTATATTTTGTACCAACTGTGTATTTGGCTCATATAAAATGTGGCTTGTTTCTTCAAGAAAGTATTGCAATTTCAATTGGGTATATTTCGAGTTCATCAGAAAATTGTGAACGTGTGGTTTATTCATTTTCTTTTTAATGAAATATCTTTTACTTGTATTTTGCAAACACTTTATATTTAGTAGTAAATTTATTTCCTATTTATCTTAAGGTTTCATAGAATTGTCATTCACTTTGTATTTATTGGAGAGGGAGTGACATGTTTTTGTTTGATATGGGACATTAACCTGCTCATATATTTGACTTTTTAAAAGTGGTAGACTAACAAGCAAAAGTACTAAGGTAATAGCCATACATTTTATTTGCATTTCAAACAAAGTTTGCAAATGTTCCAATCCAATTTCCAGTATTTGTTTGTGAAGTTCAAGAACTTTCTAGATATATTTAAAATGTCAAGTATTGACTTGAATCAAAGCATACACCTTAATTTTCCAATAAAATGATGAAGATTATACTAGAATATATATTTGATATGCAAAGCTCGATTTAGATAGTATTTTATACACAAAAATAGACGACTCATTTCTTGTATTGTAATAAATGGGTGATGAATTTATAGAAAAAAATTAATGATTTTGTGTGTGTGTTATTATTTGTGTCTTTAATGAAGAATGCAGAGGACAGGGGGGTGTTTCACAAAGCCTTTTTCAATGTCAAATCTGCTGATAACCAATCCGAAGCAAGGATTTCAGTAGCTTATAACAAAAACTGTCATTTGTCACTGATGACAAATTTTGTGAAACACACCCCTGGTCTTTTGTTATGCCTCCGCCACCGAAGGTGGTGCCGGAGGCATCATGTTTTCGGGTTGTCCGTCCGTACGTCCGTACGTCCGTCCGTCCGTCCGTACGTCCGTCCGTCCGTCCCGTTTGACCGTTATCACAATATCTCAAGAACCATTTAAGATTTAAACTTAAGACTCGGGAATAGTATTTATCACCATAGGAAGACGATCTGATTAGATTTTGGAGTACGTAGGTCAAAGGTCACAGGTCACAGAGGTCAACTTATGAAATTCCTTGTATTGAGTTTGTTAGCGCGATATCTCAAGAACCATTTGAGATTTAAACTTAAAACTTAAGGATAGTATGTATCACCATAGGAAGACGATCTGATTAGATTTTGGAGCATGTATGTCAAAGGTCAAGGGTCACAGAGGTCAACTTATGAAATTCCATACATTGAGATTGTTATCATGATATCTCAAGAACCACTGGAGATTTAAACTTCAAACTTAGTGATAGTGTGTATCACTATAGGAAAACAATCTGATTACATTTTGGAGCACGTAGGTCAAAGGTCAAAGGTCACAGGGCTCATTATGTATGCAAAAACAGCTTGTGATCGCGTTATCTGAACAACGATTGATGGATTCCTGTCAAACTTTGGTCATGTATGTATCTTGCAGAGCTGATGAACTGATTAGATTTTGGGGTCACGAGGTCAAAGGTCAAAGGTCACAGGGCTCATTATGTATGCAAAAACAGCTTGTGATCGCGTTATCTGAAGAACCGATTGATGGATTCCTGCCAAACTTTGGTCATGTATGTATCTTGCAAAGCCAATGAACTGATTAGATTTTGGGGTCACGAGGTCAAAGGTCACAGCGCACATTATGTATTCAAAAACAGCTCGTGATCGCGTTATCTGAACAACCGATTGATGGATTCCTGCCAAACTTTGGTCATGTATGTTACTTGCAGAGCTGATGAACTGATTAGATTTTGGGGTCATGAGGTAAAGGTCAAGGTCATGCGGCTCATTATGTATGCAAAAATAGCTTGTGATCGTATTATCATTAGAACAGATTGATGGATTCCTGCCAAACTTAGATCATTTATGTATCTTGCAGAGCCAATGAATGGTTCATAAGATCAAAGGTCATGGGCTCATTATGTATGCAAAAATAGCTTGTGGACGCATTCTCATTAGAACTGACAGATGGATTACTATTTAACTCAGGAAATCTTGCAGAGCCAATGAACTGAGTAGATTTTAGGGTCATGAGGTCAAAGATCAAAGGGTCATATATGTTTATGAGAAATTGCTTGTAATCACGATATTCTGAGAACATGTTAATGGATTACAATTGAACTTGAATTTGAAAAATTTCTTCCGTTTCGGTTTGTAAAATTGCTCTATGACGGAGGCATCATTTTCGACTGCGCGCAGTCGAATTCCATCTAGTTTGGTTATAAATTTTGTTATGGGGTTACCTGCATGTACATCGGTATAATGTACTTGATGTAATACGATACATATGTGGTTGTTTAGTGTTGTGATCTGTAGGTACAATGTGACTTTAATTTTATAATCTCATAATTGATAACTAATTATTTAGAGTGTCCATATGTAAAATAATGATAGATGATTTTCACTTAATGAAATGAGGATGAAAATAATAACTGAGAGACAATTTATGTTAAGTAGACAATAATTTTATTTTTATCATTTACACATATCGTTACACCAAAACGAAAAAACAAAATATATGAATGAAAATACAAGAAATATAAAATTGCAATGCTGAGACAGAACAGCTACAAGTTAGCTATATTCATGACCGTTAAAGAGTACCGGTAGAAGAAATATTCACAACATTCACATCCGACTTCCGGATCATCGATTAAGGAAAATTCAATAGCTCTGTCCATAACTTATTGAAATTTGCCAATGTTACAATGACATACGTAATCTAAACAGGATTTTCAAATTGCCCTGAAGTTGATTTCACGTCTTTGCGATCTTCTTACAATGGAATATACCGTACCGCTCTCCTACGTTCTCCTCCATTACAAGTAGGTATTGAAGTTTCATCACCCTTACAGTTAAAGTCATCAGAAAAACTGACTGTAAAGCATATTGTAGAAGTGCATTACAAAACGGAAGTGCCTCTTTGATAAACAGCTAGGAGTTCATGAAAATGTTATTGAATATGAATAAATGAAACCATTGATTTTTATAAGGAATTACATTTCTATTTCAAGCATTACACCGTCATGATAGAGTGATGTACATCAATTGTCTCATAAAATGATGAAACTGATAGTTATTTTACATCAGTATTCAAACATTTGACTTGAGGTTCACAAAAGGAGCTTATCTGACAGTATTTGCAGCATTCAAGAGCTTTAAATATCAGCAGGTTCAGCCTACATTTGAAAATTACACAGGAATCGAGTTCAAGATTTACATGAAAATTAGTCAAGTCATAAGATTAGAACTATTCAAGAAATTAATCTTGAATTAATTAATCCTAAATGTACAAAAAATATGAAAGTCATACTGTTCCCATTCCATCTTAAACTCAATAATCTTGGATGCAATTATACATTCAATATAAATAGCTATAATCATACGTTGCATAAAAAAAGTCACTACACCTCAATTTTTGCAGGTGAAATGAAATATTGCACACATAAAGCAAACAATACAGTCATCAAAAGAGAAAAATTGAGGTTGAAACCATCATCACTCAATTTTTCCCCCCTCTGATCATTAAGCACTAAGAAATTCATAGCATTTCAACTAAAGGCTCATTTCCAGGCAATGCTGTATTAAAATCACCTTAAAAAATCTGCAGCAGCAAGTTTCCCTAAGCATACTCGCATATCTCTGTGTATATAAAATGCACAAAAGGCCATTAAACTATGCTTTTACACTGTACTAATCACCAAAACATGTTTTGATCTTGATGTAAGGGGTTCCATGCGACTAGCTATACACAGATTATTTGTCAGGTGATTGGTATACTTAAAAAGTCATTTTGCCATTGCAGTTTTTTAAAGCCCCAGTCCCATATAAAGCCGGACCAGCACGGACGAGCACGGACCACTCCGGACCATCCCGGACCATGGTCTGGGGTGATCCGGGATGGTCCGGGATGTTTTGTTCAAAAAATCGCAACCGCCGACCGTCTCCCCGGACCCAACACGGTACCACTACGGACCGCCCCGGACCGTCCGGGCATAGCCCCGGCAGCAGTACAGATCATTCCAGACCCAGCACGGAGCCGCCACGGACCGTCCCGGACCACCCTGGTGCCAACACGGTGCCAACACGGATGACACCGGACCATCCCGGTGCCAACACGGATCATCCCGGAACGCCCCGGTGCCAACATGGATCGCCCCGTGCTGGTCCAAGGTGATCCGTGTCGCCACCGTGCTGGGTCCGGGATCATCCGTAGGGGCGCTGGGGTGATCCGGGGTCAATAACTCACTCCCGGACTGCCACAGATCAACACGGACTGCCCCGGCGCCACTACGGATGACCCCGGACCCAGCACGGTGGCTACACGGATCACCCCGGATCAAACTATTGTCCCGGACCGTCCCGGACCACCCCGGCAGTTTTTGACCGTCAAAAACATCCGGGGTCGACTCCCGGACCGCCCAGGACCATCCAGGACCATCCAGGACCATCCAGGACCATCCAGGACCATCCAGGACCATCCAGGACCCCCCCGGTGCCAACATGGTGTCAACACGGACCGAATCCCGGATCACCCCGGATGGGGTCCGGGATGGTCCAGGACGGTCCGGGACGTATATGGGACTGTAGCTTAAAGGCAGTTTCTAGTATCATATATGAACATGCATTAGTATTGTCTAAATTCTACCAGCCATATCAAACATTATATGAGTTGTCAAGTAGGACTGGAAAGAAATTCATCTCCTTTTTCAATGAATAAAGTGTATTGGTGCCTCTTCAGAAACTTACTCAGTTTCGTCATCACCATTTTCCATTATACGGGTTTATTCATCTGATGGAAATGAAAGAAGACCAACACTGAATATTATAAATACAATATACAAAATAATTGATTGCCAAATATATCACTTAGGATAGTCTACACATTAATACAAGTGCTCTTTCCATAATCATATTTCTAATGATTAAAAGCTTTAGCTTTTGATTTGGCACTAGAAAGCATTGGCCATGCATTGTGATGCAAAGCTTATCATAAAATTCTCCAATAAACCTAATATACTAGCCAAGTACAAATAACACAAGATTGGAATGTGACAACATGAACAATTACATTGTCCTTTCTGTGCAAATATAAAGATACAGATTTGACATGCAACAAATTTGAGCAATTAAAGACAAACATAAACATCTCATGCATTGATATCAAAACATTTCATGTACCTGTACGTACATGTATATCATACACAAAAATACCTGATTCCCCCTTCTCAGCCATATATACCATATAACTATGTTCCCCCTCCCCCCTGTAAGCTCCAACTTATGTGTCAAGCAGAATAAACCTAAATTTCTTACAACCAAAATGTCAACATTTTGTATTAGGCATCACTACTCAACTGTAATAGCTTTTATAATTTATTTCTGAACATGCTCACTAATATAAGGGTTCTATGTCAATAACTGATAAAAAATGACCCATTATTTAGCGGAATAAAATATTTCAGAGAGAAAACATTCCTGAGACAGAGCAAGGATGCAACTGTCGGGATAACAATTAAACAGATATGTTTTATAACAAGGAACCACGTTCTTGATTCACCTCTCATATTCACATCATTTTGGACAGATAGTCCATCATAATAATGAAACATTTATTTCAGTACATGTGTATTTAAATACGGTGACCTTCAATCAAAGCAACTGAAGCTTGATAGAGTAGGTGCAGTTACGGTAAATACGTTCTCGTTCTAATTCAATCTGTAGCACTTTTTACAGAAAAAATTATAATTTGCCTGAAAATTAATTCTATATTTCTTTTTATAAATATATTTCAGAAACCGTTTATCAAGTAGTTTCAGGACTTAAATGTAAAATGAATAACGCCAGAATTCCATGATTTAACGGGATTTACAAAAACAAACAAAAAATGGATGCAAGCTTTACAGCTGTATTTACTCTTCATGAAATTATCATTTGAACAATACTCGGCTTCAAAATAATTTCAACCAAAAACAGTGCATAATACATCAATATAATGGAATGTATTAAATTGATATGCAGTTCTTGCTCTACAAGAGAAATGATACAATATGAAAGATGCTAATATTCTATTCAAAATTGTATTAGCAATACATAAACTCACAATACACATCAGATGATGATAATATATGATTTCCCTTGTATTACAGTACACCCAGAAGAAGTAAAAAATATCCCATTTTGTGTAGTTAAGAATCTATTCATACTTCAAATCACGAGGTCAGCTTAATCTAATAAAATATATTGCACAATATTCCAAAACAAAAGAAATTTGGCATCTTGTGTGTCATTGGTAAACTTGGCAATGGTCATCGCTAAAAGCATGATCATTTTACAACAAAATGCAAGTCTTTGACTGTATTTTCACTAGGCATTATTCAAGAGAAAATGAAACTCCTCAGAGGCATCAAATTTTATCATTCAGCTTGCCTCATTTGATATTTTAAATGCTCTTTATACATTTATAAATATGGTATTTTTCTGTAAGGATCTTTAAAGAAGGAAAATGATGAAAACACTAAACACTAAACATACTTCAATAGGGTTTTAATTTCACTTAGCTTTGTATATTCTAAGAAAATATAAAAAGTGTTGTTTGATATGATATTTGAGCTCTAATAGGACATGCTGTAACACTTTAATTCAAAGTTTGTATATGTGATGCCCATGGAATACATGCATGGAAAACTAAAGTCCACACTTTAACCCTGATATTTAAAAAAAAATTATTATCAAAAGAAATATTTGCAACAGGAACTAGACCAGATGGCCTTTCGAGTTGAGGTAGACAATTTGGCACCATTCAACAGGAATCTTGTTATTACAATGATCGCCATTTGGTATTGATGACAATGTCATGTATTAATACCAGAATAAGATGTCTTTTGTAATGAACGGCAAATATCACCACAAACAAAATGACTTAATAATACAGTTTGTGAATGAAAAGATGCACTACAAAACTTTTTTACGATTCCTTCATAATTTCACTTCCACATTTGTAATACCTTCCAAATATTCTATTCTATCTATTTGCAGCAACTTCTCATCAGCAATATCTATTTCATAAAGAAATTCAAATGATGTGAAAAAGATGCATGCATCTGAAGATATTCAAATATGTGTTCTGCCTATCATGGTAGCACCTCACAGATTCTCTTCTATGTCCATAGCTGTAAATGAGCACCAGTGGTACGGAAGGGTTGCATAGCAGGTGGTCATTTCTACTGGTTCACTCCCACACTCCGTGGTCATTCTTTAATGGTCACTCCTAGTGGTCACTTAGTGGTAACTCACAGTGGTCACTCATTAATAGTCACTTTAGTGGTACACTCCCATTGGCCTCTCATTGCGGTCATTCACAGCGGTCACTTTTACTGGTCATTTCATTTCATCAGCTATGATGACATCATTGTCCTGAGTAGAATAGATTTCGTATGGATCTGACTTGTGAGTTTGACATAAGCAACATTGTTGCGATAACTCCTCACTTTCTGGTGACTCTGGACCTCTCGCAAACACCTTGATCAACTGACAGTGGACCCTGTAGAATCAATGGCAAAAAAAAACAAAATAAGTATAACAACAATCTGATAATGATGGAAACCTGCACAACAAACTCCTATCTTATACTTCTATTCCAGTGACTCTGGACCTCAGACAAACACCTATATCATTAAACTGACAGTGAACCCTGTACATATAGAAGCATGTAGCTCCAATATGATTAAGCCATGAAGGAAATTAGTATTACTCTGACAGTGATGGCACTCTGCCTAAAGCCTCGTTCATGCATTACTAAAATGACATCTGTTTGTTGATCTTTACATTTTTGACTGCATGTTTTAACAAAAATCAATTGAATATGCTAAAACAAAGTGTACACATATTGATATGAAGCTTTCTTACAGAGACTTGTACATAGATTGCCATTCTTTCATACCATGTGAAGAAAAATTATCCTTACATAAATATGCTAAATCAAATACAAATACATTATTAAATACATTATTAAATACATTATTAAATACATTATTAAATTAGTCATTTATCTGAAAATCCTTGTTCAGTGATCTGTGTATTCACTTTAAGCATCCTCATATCACTTGGTATGTTCTGATAGACCAGTGAATGTTCATGCATGATGAATAAATATCTCACCTGACGTCAATATCAGGGGGTTCCCCAACCTCCCCATCCATATTCCATGAGCTGGTACTACAGACGCTCCCAGTCCTGACAGCCTTGTACATGCCAAACCTCTTGGGGCTTCCCTTGCCGAAGGTCTGTTGCTCGTTCTCAACGTTGGAGGGCTCAGCGACCATGGCTAGCTCAAGATCAGTGTTCAAAGACCGGAATTTAAAGGCCTTGGCACGATGCACCTCTACAAAGTCAAAGTTGAACTAGTCGAGAGGAAAAAAGATGGAAAAAGAAAGTGAGTCAGTATACGTGTTCCATATAGGAAATTTGCTTTTGTCTGAAATATAATCTTACCATGATTTGAATTTTAAAAATTGTTTAGTACAAGACATGCGCATTTAGAAATACACTGTGTATCCCTTAATGTACAGAAGTATTGTATTCATCTGTGATTTTAATCAATAATTTGGGACATAATTAATCACTGCACTCGGTGAAGATAATTTCATTCTTTTCCTGTACATTACCGTCTTTTATGAAATTATGAAATAATCAACAATGAAAGTATTATTTTCCATTACCAAACTGATACCAAACCCTAGTAATAATCATTAGAAATACTAAAACCTATGATTTGGTCAGTACAACTTGCCCTTCAATATGCATTTCAGCATGTCTGATAACATATGTTCTGGCTCAGTCTCTCTTGGATTAAGGTTTAGAATAATGATTCTTTCAATAAAATATAGATGACTCACATGATTGCCTGATGAAGCTAGCTTGAGCATGTGTCTGAGGTAGTCAAACCTTGAACATTGTCTAACTAGAACCAGATCAAGACAGCCATTCCCTAGATGGGCCGCAGGAGACATCCCAGTCACTGTCCTGGAGCATCGTCCACTCACGAGGGCAGCATTGATAGCTGTGAAGCGCCCTCTTACATGCCGCCACTTGGATGATGAGTCCCCAGAATCTGAACAGATACAAGGAAAATTTGTGAAGGAATAGACTCTTAGGGGCTTAAAAGCCAGACAAGCTGAGATAAAAGGCAATCTTTAAAAAAAAAAAAAAATGTTTATCCATTCATTGATTAAGTACAGGTTAATATTCAGAGTTTGCAACTTAGGCCTAACAAAAAAAGATGTTGTACTGCCCTTTGCAACCGACCCAACATTTTTTAAATCTACTGTCGGCTTTTAATTAATTTATTTTTTCAACTGGTTTTTAGAGAAAAAATATATTAAAGCATTCAAAACTGAGAAAAAGTCAGAGACAAAAAGAAGAAAAAAAAGTTAAAAAAAAGAAAAAGATTTCCGACCGACCAGTGTTTTGGCACCTAAGGGGCAATAAAACATTTTTTTTTTTAGGCCTTATCTACGCAAAATACACATAACCTTAAACAATAACAGATTTAATGTCTGTTGTAGAGAAGACCTTAAGCTTAAAAGCCAGGCAAGCTGAGATAAAAGGCAAATCTTTAAAAAAAAGAAAATTGTTTACCTTTTCATTGATAACGTACAGGTTAATATTCAGAGTTTGCAACTTATCTGGGCAAAACACACATAACCTTAAAGAATAACAGATTTAATGTCTGTTGTAGAGAAGACCCATATCTAGGACATCATGAACCTAGGGGTGATTCATTCCAATGAGATATAGTTTATGGTACATACCAGCAAGTATGATGGCATATCATATTACCTACCTATCATATCTGATTTCTTGTAGACATCATGACGGTTACGTGATTTCCTCTTTGAGCAAACTCCACACCTATAAGTACAGAATTATATGTACTATTAATTTTGTTTTAGAGTGCCAGCATAGCATATCATAGAGTACCAAATATTATTCAATTCTGCTTCATTTGGATTTCTATAAGACATGCTTTTATTAATGGCATAATGGCAGAGACGCTAACACATTCAAAGTACAATAAATACTAAAACTAAAGAATGAACTGTGGAAAAACTATTGCACAGCTTTCAAATTTATAATTAACATATTAATGCTCCTTTGAATGCCATGGGTGGAGAATCAGTCTAAGAAAGTTTTCTTCTACAATATTTTTGACAAATGTATATATTTATTTCCTTCCAGAAACAAACACAAGTACTAGTAGATACATCATGCAGGTTTTTACCAAATAAGAAACCTAAAGTCAGATTTTAAAAAAGGAAAAAGAGAGTATTACTGGTACTCTAAATCTGACTTGTGAATGTTCATTTAGTATAACAAATTGTAACACTAGTGGTACAGATAGGATTAAAGAACTGCTGTAAAACCAAAAAACACAACCAATTCCATAGATTCATGAAATCTTCATGCCACAATACAAAACTATCAGATTGAATCATGACATTAAATGATTGTTGCAATTTGCCAAGTTCCTTGCAGCAAAAAAATGGCCATCATTGACAATTTGTAACAGGTTTGAATTGCAAAAGTTTCTAGTTTTTACAAATCTAAAATGAAATCCTGCCAAACGATCCCATCGGAACTTACCCTATCATGCAGCCCTTCTTATCCCATGGTGTATTATCTTCATCCTTACTGGGTAAGAAGGATACCTCTCCCAAGTAGGCATGGTTTCTCAGGTACTTCTTAACTCCTGGACAAATAAAGAACAAGGAGAAAGAAGAATATCAAGTTGAGTACTTTAGTGGAGCAAAGCTGTTGACTTTCTGAGCACTTTGAATGTTGAGCTACTTTTATTTGCATAATTTCCTTTAAAGAATACAATATTCAAAAATGATTTCAGATATGATCTCAGTTATGTTATATATGGGAAGGTACGTCTTCACTCCTGGTAGAAGACAAACAGATGATCAGGAAGAATGTCACACTAAAAGCTTTTGTGATGCAATGCTGGATGATGCTCTACTTTGGACATTGAGAAATTAATATTGATAATTTGTAAGCAATCTTGATTTATATAGCACTTAATACAAAATACCATCTCTAAGAGCTTTACAGATATTATCTTGGTCATTGGATTCTTTCTTGCACTTGCCTATACACCTACTAAAACCATTTAGTAATAGTTCATTTGCATCTAAAGGACCTTTGTCATTCTTGTTTTAGTAAATTGTATTTTAAATGGTTCTTTCTGTCTTCTGATCTATATATGCTATTACCTGCAAATTCATATCTCGATGGTCCCATCCACCTGTAGTTCTCACTCTCCTTCAGTACATCCCCGAGGAAACCGTAACCCATGAATGAGACCGTGTATCTCAACAAAGAGTTGTTGTGATGGACAGAACACACGTCTAATGCTAGAGAGAAACCTGGTGGGGAATATAACAATAGTTCTCAATAATATGAAATGATAACGAGAGATAGAGATAGAAATGGCAAGAGAGAGAGAGAGAGAGAGAGAGAGAGAGAGAGAGAGAGAGAGAGAGAGAGAGAAAGTAGGGGGAGGTAGGAAGAGAGAGTGAGAAAGACAAATACATCATTTTAGAAAAATGGGAGACAGAGAGATAAAGAGAGAGAGGGGGGATAACAGAGAGAGTAGAGCAAGATACAGAGATGAGGAGAGGGAAGGAGAGAGGGAGAGAGGAGAGAGACAGAAAGAGAAAGAGAGAGTTAGAGAGAGAAAGAGATGGGGGTGAGAGTAGCTAACAGTACACAGTTCAAAAAGTTCCTTTAGTTCAAGGTAAACAAAAAACTGTGGATGAAACCTTGTAACTCAAAATTTTCTATTTTTATTCTTCATAGTTTTGTAACTATAAAGAACCAATATAATGCTCTGATAAACCCATCTAATGCATGTCTACATCAATGGCTTCAAGTGAACTGTACAAGGATGGCCATCAATGTTCTCATTTTATGTTAGACATGACAAAAAACAAATTCTCACTTTTTTGAAAATTTAAGGTAAGAACTTGTATCATCTTGTCTACAGTATATATCCTCCAAGAAATATTTTAAAAAGATTGCATTCAAATTTATTTCATAGTCATACAATACAATCATCACAATAATTGGCAGGAAATATTCTGCAAATTTAAGAGTTTTGTTCATTTTGTTCATGTGCATTGATTCCTCCACCAGTAATGTGACAACGAAAGCTTTGCACAGACTGCCATCTATCTGGCAAAAACATATATTTGTGTCGAACAAGGAAGTAAATAAAAATGTAAACGAGTTTTGCTCAAACCAGATCTATTTCCGCAAAGAAAAACATAAAAAGCACTTAAAAAGAGTTCAACATGAAGCCAAAATAAATACAGCAAGTTCTTGCTGATTGAATCACAAGTTCAAACTGCCAAAATACAATCAAAATGTATATTCCCATACCTAGAATGATCTGTATTGCAGATGTGACAGGGTCATTCACTCCAGTGGTATCATAGGCCATAACATCTGTGGAACCTGTTAAAAGATGGAGAAACAAAGAAGAACAGAAAATAGAATGAACACGAATTCTTTATTTTGTTTTGTTTCTCACAACAATGTCGCTCACAAGAGCAAGGTCCATTGTTTATTTGCATTTGAAGTACATGTATGTATCTGCTTGTGATATTGAAATGATAACAAAGGAAGGATCAAAGGTTTAGTTTGTGTACTTTACCTCTTAAGTTGATCATAATCTAACACTATATAAACAGCAATTGAAGAAAAGGTCCACTCAACAAGACCAATTAAGGTGTCATTAATAAGCAAATATATTTATTGCTTTATAGCTATGAGTTCCTAAATTTAGGTGATCTAGCAAATTCTAAACAAATATAAACCTATTGCACATGGAATCTGAAATAAGATAAAGATAAAGATAAGATAAAGTACATTGACATTAAACAAAATTCCATGTTAATGATCGTTTCAATTGTGAAATACCGGTATACCTTGCATGTATAAAGCATAAATCATAGACAAAAAATACCCCATTCCATTTTCTTCATATTGATAGGGTATCCATAAAATCATAAACAAGATATGCACACATAAAGTGTACACGAATCATTTTCATGTTCATCCATTTTTCTATTGAAACATATTTATCACAATAATGTGTTTACAGCGGCATAAACACTACAAAAGGCGAACACTAGAGTCAAAAGACATTTTACGGATTTGTTGAACGTGCTGATGCAGCAGACTCTCACGGAGACCTCCGGTGGGCCAACAAAGTGGTTCACAGCTGCCTCTCAAAATATCTAATTGATGACGTACCATACAATGCATAAAACTAGAACAAACTATAACCACCTCCAAATGAAGAAAGCAAAAAAGTTGCTGCACCTGCCCATGTGGTCTCTGTTAATACCCTTTAAAGACCAATATTGCACATTTTGTGGTTTGGCCTACTCAGCATCTTTTGATTCAGAGCCGTAACATTATACCAGATGCATAAAAAGAATGGACAATTATTTTTTTCTGCATACCTTGTGTCCATACTAGCTGCATAACCATATTACCACATTCCTTTTTATTCCAGGAATTTTAAAAAGGAATACCGGTATATGCTTTTAAATCCTTAAGAGAGGTTCAATATCACAGTTTTTCAAACAAAATTGGCAGTTCTCCACATAGCTCATTCCCATGGATACTGTTTACAGTGACGTGACATTCTATCAGAACAATGTAGCAATAAAGTTAAAACTTTTAATACCAATTTGAAGATGAAAATGAGAACAGTCTTCTTGATAATAGCCCTTATATATTCCCTTCCTGAGAAGGCTTAATAACTATATGATGATGATAATAATGGGGACCCAAATTTCCCTTGATGCTTTTTCTCACCTGCTGGTATAATGCCTACCCTGAGGCCTAGAGGTACCGGTACAGATGCTGGGTTGTTAGGGTCTATACCTTCCTCTTGCTGGGTTCTTATTAGTAATCCATTCACAATATCAGCAAAGGTACCATCTCCACCAACAGATACAATACTGGAGTGAGAAATGAAAGGATAGAGCATAAGAGCATCAAACACAATATCTATTGAAACTGTATTTCCACCAACACATAACAATACTAGTCTTGAGAAATGACAAGGGCATTGATCATAATGTCACATGAACAATAACCAATGAAAATATGTCACCCACAGCAGATACATACTGTACAAAGCTTGAAAGAGAAGTGAAACAACAGAAAAAGCCTTTATCAGAGCACTGATCACAAACATGTAGGTCACATTATAATATTCACTGAAATGGTATTTCCACCAAAATGTACAACGCTGTCGTAGGAAACGAAAGATAGAGACTTATTAAAGCATGTAGGTACATGTATGCCACAAAAACAATATTCATTGTACATTGATACATTAGAATCATAATAATGTAGACATTTTGCATTCAAGAACAAAATGCTATGCTGCAATTGCTCTGCAGTCAATATCTATGAACAAAATTCCCATCTTTAATCCTGGCACAAACACTTTAACCCTAACCCTAACCCTAACCCTAACCCTAACCTTAGATTGTGACATAAAACTATATATTGCAATACCAACTCTAACCCTATATCTTTGACAATATAAAACCTGGAGGAATTGGTGGGTGGGGAGGAGGGGGGAGGTCACCACGTACTTGTACAAGAGCAGACCTAGGAGATTACCAGTAAATTACTTACAAACATCCATAAGGAAACATCAATATGGAAATAAAATTTAACTTTATACTGAGCCTTCACCGGGTGTGCTTAAGATATTTACAAACATTCAAATTATAGAAATGAACCTTGTGCCAATAAATTCAACTCATGAGTATTTTGATGGATGGGACTATATTTACTGAATTACTGTTAATATTGACCTTTGGAAAATACTCCTCTTTTATTTCTGTATCAATAACGATATGAAAATCCATGATGGATGTGCAACTTAATGGCAATGTCAAGCAAGAAAAATATCATCAGTCTCAAGTGTTTTATTCAAATCACTATAGAAATGTACTGTTCATGGGTATTTGCTTAATTCTTCCTCTTGCTCATGGAATCTAACATTGGGCTGGGGAATTTCAATAGCATAAAGGAGAGCTTTCATTTTCAAACTTTCAATATCGTAATATGTTTTTGTGTATACAACAGCAACTTTTACACTTCTCTCCCAACTATAATACTTTGTCGTTTCATATCAACATCAAATGCTGGCACTCAATCATATCAGATATATTCACTTTTTAATCAATTTTTTAAATCAAATTTTCTTAAATCCACAGAAGCATTACTTCGAGAAACTAGTTCATTCAAGGCCGAACTTGATAACAATCATAGTTAAAGAACAACTTGGCATCATTGACCCTGCAAATTGGGAAGGCAGTAGCAGTATCAATATTTGATCAGCCTTTGTTGTTCTGGGAACACCTACTTTGGCCAGAACTTAAAGGTACATAAACCTATCTCCTATTCTTGTATATTCTTTTAAGAAAATAAAACTTTTTTATTATGAGATATCATTGCATTGAAAAGTCCATTTCCTTCATAAAAGTTTGATGAAGAAAAAAAGCAATTTCATCAAATGTATACAAATATAGGTTATGTACATGTAGTAGGCGTACAATATTGAATATGAAACACCTGATCATAAAACACTAATTCCCACTGAAAAGCATGCACCATTTAGGTTTAATAACTAGTTATATGTAACTAATGTTTTCTTACAATTTCCATTTCTCCCATGATAATTGTTTGCATAAAAAAAAAGATTTCATCAAATGTGTAGGCCTAACAATATAAAAACACTTGGTCATAAAAACCGCAGCTTCCCATTAGAACATACACCATTTAAAACAAATTGAACACAAGTTCACCATGCCTTTAATTCAGAGATAAGACATTAATTCTATTCAGGCCGGGTGACTGATGATAGTTCCTTGAACCCTCAAACTTTTAGGAATAACATGGTACGTCACTCTATTGTGAACTGAGCAGACCTGTGTTATCAGTAATTATTTAGACATTGACATCCTATTATTAAGTAAATTGTTTTGCCAATACATGCACATGAATATGTTACTCATTATCAAGTGTCAATTTATTTTCAATTTGTATTATTAATCATTATCCAAATATGAATGTATTCATCTAGAGTAAAATGCACGCCACAGCATACTTGAATTGATATGAAAATTGCAAAGTGGACATTATACAATCTTTCCTACACCTAACTGTGACTAAATGACTTTGCTGCACCTTTATTGGTGTCCATTTTCATTTAGGCTTATATATTAAATTACACATTCAATAAGCACAGGTGTGCCCACATACATTTTTTAACGATGGGTTTGAAAAAAATATGGAGTGTAAGATCTTTTTACGAGCGAGTTCAAACTCAGTTTAGATATGACAATAAACACAAGCCATCGTTATGGTCTAATGGAGTGGGGCTGTTTATAACGTTCTGGAGGTTGTCATGAAAACATTGAATGTGTACAACATGAACCTACAATGATTGTAAGATAACAAATAAGTACCGAGTTATTTCCTTTTTCTGAGAGTAGAGGGAAAAAAACAAGGAAGTGGTTGTTACGAAATGATTCAGTGTTTTCGGTGCCAAATATGTCACATTTCATGCATTTTAAGCATTTCATCACAGATCTACGTAAGCAAGCTGTGGGATATGGTAGTGAATTGAATTCAGACTCATGCTACGTCTCAACAAATGTTCCTGCAGTGTATTTATATAGTGGTTATACTAACATTCCTATTTCTATAGAAATGCTTATAAATGTAATCCTTCATCTAAATAGACACTATCTCTCTCTCTCTCTCTTCCTCTTCCTCCCTACTGGAATTCTATCTAGTAGCAGAAACCACACCTTATACTGCATAAAGTAAAAAACAAAGCTGAGAGAGTAAGAGGCAGTATGGCAGAAAGGGAGAGAAAAAACAAATATACATTGAAACCCGCTCTAGAAACTAAATATACCTGTATAGAAATACCACATATTCAGATTCCCTTGAATTGTGATTCTCAATGATGTCAAGACCACTTTTCTTTACTCCTCTAAGAAGCCTTTATAACAGGTTACACTTGTTAGTGCAAGAAAACGTAAAAAGAAGACGCTAGAAGCCAAGATTTTTAATCTTACCCATCAATTCCAGTGAGGTCCATCATCTGCATGAGTGACTTTGCATGATCAGGGCCTTCTGTGACTGTAAAAATTGAAAATACAGATTGAATTATATCTGTAAATTAAAGGAATTCTGTGAACAAAATCTTTTTCATAAAAGGCAAGTTAAGTCATGTGCCTTTGGAATCATCTGTGTTATTTTAACACCACACTAACATCATAGGAAAGATCTATCATCTGACCCAAAGAGGCTGACGTGTATTACATAATTCATAAGAAATCCTTTTATATTCCAGTTGAAGTAGAATCTTATCTTTTTAAAATAATGCTTTACTCAGTCCAATACTTTGTAAAATGTAAATTATACCAAAATAAAATCATACTCCATCGGTTATCTATAAAAACACATAATTATTCATAATGATCTAATACAAACTTGTATGCTGACAGAGAGAGAGAGAGAGAGAGAGAGAGAGGTGGGGGGGGGGGGGGGGGGGGGGTTGGGAGAGAGAGAAAGAGGGGGAGAGAGAAAGAGGGAGAAGAGTGCACTGTAGATATAAAGACTTTTTTGACAGTAGGGTGAAAAAGAATGAATGTAACATAAATACGGTATATTTGGTGTCATTGGTGACTCACTTGTCATACTGGTCTCAATATCTGCTAGGTGGAACAGAGGCGCTACCTTAATGTCGTAGACCGACTGTCCTTTTCCTTTACCCCCGTATGGATTCACTATCACATGTAATCTCTTTGGTCTGCCATGACCTATAATCGGGAGTCAAATCAAACATATCACATCAAACGCTATGTTTCCTTCATTTCAATGAGTCACTAGTTATTTTTAAACCATCATTTTTTTCCCCTGACATTCACATACATGACATTTACATGTAAGTAGACAAATACACATTAATCAAATTGAATCCCGAATCCCTATTCCCAAAATATAAGAGAAGAAAATGACGATTAATTCAAAGTGTGTATGCTTGCATATCCAACTTATTGGCAAAATATGAAGTGTTGACAATATATAAATCATTTTCAAGTCTGTTGGCCTATTTAGATTTTGATTGCAAAAAGTCATTAACCTATCATAAGAGGGAAAATGCTGACTTTAATAATAATGATGATGAACTTCATGTATCTATAATTGTAATCTATAATTTTCTTCCAGTATATCTTTATCTTTGCTCATGACAAAAATTGAATTTCATGAAACAAAAACTACATGTACATGTGGAAAGAGGAATTAATTAACCATCATAATCTTGGCAAGGGAAGATGTTAGCCTGTTTGGCCCTATGCCTACAAGAAAATTGCCCAGAACTAGTTACAGTTTTATCACAAAATACAAATTCTCATCCAAGGTGAAACACATTTTTGTACTTAATTTTTTGGACATATTAATTAATTTGGAAAATCTGTTAATCTGTAGTCAACCATGAACTGTCTGAATCTTAGTCAGGATTTAGAATGTTTCCATGACAATTTTTATTTGCTATTTCTTCATGTGTATTTGATTGCCTTCCAATGCAATCTAGAACTTAAATAAATATTTCAAATTTTTGTGCTGAACTCTCTCACAATGTGAGGTGAGAACAAACAAAAAGTTATTAAACAGGAATAAATTAAGATAAAACAATACAAAGTACAAAAGAAGCAATAAAACTACAAGTGAGATTTTGTATACAACATTTCAGAGATTTACAAAGCCCACTACAATAGTACACTTTACAAAATAGATTCTAATACAATATACACACTACACTTTTCTGACTATATGCTCTGTTCACAAGTGCATACAAATATGTGCATTATGAAAATGGTACACACATATTCATATTGTATGGTTATAATGAACGGTATTTATGGCAAACTCTTGGGCATCTCACTTGCATTGAAGCAGAACATGTTCAGTCTTGCATGTTAAGGCTGGTATTTTGCATAATTACCTCCCCGTGTAGATTTGAAGTTTTCATATATCAAGTGTTAGTCATTCTCAAACTGATTTAATTCCTACACCTTTCTCAATGTAGATCAACTTATGTTAATTGTGGTGGAACAGACTGTATCCTTCTTATAACTTCAATTAAACAACAGATGCGTTTTTTTCTTTTCAGGAGCTTCTTTACACACACACACACACACACACAAACAAAACAGAAAATATGAAAAGGGGTATTTTCTCATAGTCGATATTTTATTGGGTTTTGGGGGGGGGGGGTTGTTGTTTTTCTGTTCTTTTTTATTGAGAGCTGTTTGGAAGCGTTCAACACCTGATTAAAAATTCTCTGCTCCTGTCATTGTTCTCATTTGCAACAGAGTGTATACATGTGCAAATGTCAGGAATGATTAATCTGATACAGCTGCATTGCATATTAGGCTTGAGTCGGTACGGTCGATCACACCGGGACCCGACCGTTGCCGTCGGGTCCCGGTTTCGTTTTTTGAGAACCGGCGCTCCGAAAAAAATAATGAAATATGTAAGAAATTGCAGTTTTGCACACCACTAAAATCAATCCACCCTAAAACTTAAGTATTTAATTGTTACCAATCGTATTCTAGCTCATCCAGAATCAATCCGAACTGCTGATATAAATATGGGTTGCAACTTGCAAAGCAGTTCGCCCCATGGGGTTGTTGTTGCCAGCTGCTAGCTAGCTACTGTACTGGCCGGGTCTCTCGGCAGAATTAATAAATCAGGTTGAAAGAAACATTAATGTTTGAATAATAAAATGACTTTCTAAAAAGTACTTCTTTACAACATACCGATCGAATAATTTTTAAAAGACAAAATATATATTTTTTCTTTGATTTTGAACACCGCATGCTTCTTTTAAAAGCTGAAAATGACTTGGTAATCACAAGAAGTTTCGATACGGATAGCTGTTGCAATGCAAGTTCAGACTAGTCTCGGAAAATGCGCAGTGCTCCTTGTTAGCTATAATGCGTGCCAGAACGAACCCAAACAAAGACGTGATCGTAACGAGAAAAAAAATCATTAAAAACTACGAGAGCACAATTGGAAAGACAACTACTCAAAATTATCGTAAGCAGATACATAACTTGGAGGAAGAATACAATAGTTGTCCAAGAAAAGCCACATAAATAGTGATATTTAATGAGTTACTATAGGTACAATCATTATCGGAAGGGCCTGCTGCAATATATCTAAACGTGTTTAAATTGAACACGAGGCAAATACCGCCCTCTACGGTAAAAAGCAGTATAACGAAGGATTCGAGTATTTGCAGCAGGCCCCTTGCGATAAAAATGTACCCAGTCACTCCTCGATTATCACAATTTCTGTGGCATTTCTTGGGCGATTATTGAATTCGTTGTCCAAGTTATGTATCTGATTATGGTAATTTTGAGCAGTATATCTTTCCAATTGTGCTCTCGTAGTTTTTAATGATTTTTTTCTCGTTACGATCACGTCTTTGTTTGGGTTCGTTCTGGCACGCATTACAGATAACGAGGAGCACTGCGCATTTTTCCGACACTAGTCTGAACTTGCCTTGCAACAGCTATTCGTATCGAAACTTCTTGTGATTACCAAGTAATTTTCAGCTTTTAAAAAAAAGCATGCGATGTTTAAAATAAGAGATAAATATTTATTTTTGTCTTTAAAATATTATATGATCGGTATATTGTGCAGAAGAATTTTTTAGAAAGCCTTTTTATTATTCTAACATTCATATTTTTTAACCAGATTTATTCAACCTGCATAAATCAAAATGGCGGCTCGATTGTAGTCTTTATATTTTTGCTCGAGTTTTTTTACTTTTAGAGGCACGATAATGGCACTAAACATCGCCAATCATGGATGAATATAATGTCAAATGGAAGAATATACCAATCTGTGCCGAGGTATGCAAGTGTTGATTTATTTGACTGATAAAAATGTCACTTTTAAGGGACATACTGATGATATGCGCTTTTTATAGAGGCAAGTGACAAATCCTGCGAGCTGATTTCGGGACACCGGGTCCCGACCGGTGCAAGGCCGTCGGGACCCGGTTTATGAAAATCCCGACATGACTCAGGCCTATTGCATATCAACTACATGTATCTTATAAATTTACAACCCATGTTTCCCATTCATACTTACCCAAATACTAATAACTTAATCACATAAAAAACATTCATATCATTACACTCTTACTCTTAGTAGGGTAAATTTTCAATCCAATTACACACTAGTGCTATACAATGTTAATGTTAAAATTTGCAGCCAATAGCAACACCAAACCCATTTTTCATTTCAAATTTATTTAAATGCTTTGTGTTATTTAAATGCTTTGTGTAATTTTGGAGCAGATATATTGTATTACTATTCAACTTAGAAAACCCTATCTAAAACAGCATGATCATCATCAATTGCAATTTCAATTGATCTTTTTCAATCGTGACTTATTTCTTTACTCTTCAAAGAGTTTATTTGTGATCGTTGGTCATAAAGAAATGCAAACACAAATCTCTTTTCAAGGATTTGTGTTTTCATTAAACTAACTCTCAAGTTCAACAATACACTCTAAGTCATATTAGCATTTAGGTCCTTGAAAAGATCTTCTTTGAATGTCACTCTTGATGAAAAATCTCTCCTTGAGGAATAGAATAGATTCCTAGGGGCTGACGATATAAAAATGAACCATTTCTCTATTTTCTCACCTTGTTGTAGAGCTGTCTTTATTCTATCAACCCACATCATACAGAGCTCTTGATCATGCGAAGAAAATGTGACAGCTTGGACTTTCCACTTCGTTTGTCGACTGTTCCTACCAACATACACTAGGAGGGATGAGAGGAATGAAATCAGTACAGTTTTAGATCAAAGCTTTCATTAGATTACAAAGAATAAACAAGTCATGTTTTTAAGTTCTTTTTCATACCCTCATTGCTGACAAGCCTTATTTTACTTTTTTTTTTAAATCACTTCACATTGTATATCATTGTTTAGGCAATATATGATACTTATACCGGTACTAAAGAATGGAGATTGCTACATTCCCTAATCAATGTTTCACGTATTACACTGGATTAAACATATGTTATAGACATGAAATGATTCAACATCTCAAGCAAATATAAGTTTTTTTTAATCAGATCATTTATCAAATCTCTCTCTCCCAGCTTCCATTCAATGTTACAACAGCACATTTTGTTGACATATGAATTATAAGGCAATCATACATGTTTGTCATTAAAAACATGCATAAAAATTAAATCAATGTTATAACAAATTCCAGCTTTTATTTTTTTACCTGTAAAGCTGAATAAAGGGTGATGGGTTGATGGTGTAAAGACCTGAAAGAGTTGACCCATTTGAGACAGGGTCATCATGTGGTTTCCATCAGGTGAAGAAGGCTTCTCTGGTCCCTTCAGACGAACCCCAACGATGCGATTCAGCTGGATGCATTGGTGGTTGTCTGCAATTTTGATCAAAGAAGAGAACGTTCACAGGTAGCTCATTAACAACCAATTGCGTAGCACAGGTAAACGTTTGGAGGGGGCATTGGGTGATGAGCATCTGGCAGGGGGGGGGGGGGGGGGGGAGGCACTGGTCTTACTCGAATGAAATGCGAATTAGTTACCTTATCGTCGACTGGAGGGGAAGGGGTCCTACCAACTGCTTTTCTTGTCATTTGTCTTCTCTCTTTTTCCGGAGGGGGTAGGGGGGGGGGTGGGTGGCTCCTTGGCCTTGCCAATGCATCAATCCCTATGGCTATAGCAGTTTAGGTATAGACTATAGCTAGCCACTGAATCCATACATAATAGTACTGTCTACACAATATACATACAAAATGAATTACATTTAATGATAGTCTACATGTACAGGTCTACATCTAATTGAACTATAATTTAACATTCTTTGCAATGCCTCCTCAAACCGTTGCATGGCACCATAAATTCTGAAATTTAATAAAAAACATCACACACAAAAAAAAATTCAACACCAAAACTTGAAAGCATGAAAATAGGACACAAAGTTCTAAGTTAGGGCCTGAAACTGAAAGAAGAAATGATTTCTCAATCTTCAAATGAAAACACGAACATAAATGTAAAACAGGAGTAGACCCTCATTAATATATTTTATTTTATAGACCTAATTAGCTATGGAACTTTACGGATGCAATCCAACGACTCACGGAGTTGGTGATGCATTCCAAGGGTGGAGGATGCCTCCCACCACGTTATCGACTGGGAGGAGAGTCGCACATCACAAGATTTCCTTTCGATGTCAAACGTCGCCTGCAGATCGGTAGAACTCGATTCCTCATTCCTGCTTGAAGTTGAATTCACATGCTCCATTTCTCCGCAAACACGCTAAATTATTGAAAAGACGGGCTAGAACTCTTTCTTGAGGACTGCCTTAGAATAATGAAAAATAAACTGTCAGAAAAGAACTTGCACTCTTTCTACAGATCATCTCAACGCGATGATGTATCCAGAGCGAGAGAAACCATTGTAAATACAAAATGAAACAACACGGTACGGTGGCTTAATATACGGTGCACGCATATATTGCATCGGCAGACAGCCAGACGAAAGGCCAACAAACTTTCTCTATTCCTAGTCTGAAATTCATACGTAAAATTAAATGTATATTTACATTTACATTGCGAATGATTTGTGTTATACTTGATAATAATACTGTAAAATCAGAATTTAAATAAATAAATAAAGATTATATTAAATGTATATATATTCATTTATGTAGTAAAATTACTATCTCGTTGTTTTCAAAATCATTTACGGACTCCCCTATCAGACTAATAAATCAGCGTATGCCTTGAAGGTGAACAAACTTTTACAGAGTTCGCTCTGTCTGTTGTTCGTTCACAACGATGAACATACACGGGGGGGGGGGGGGGGGGGGGGGGGTAATCACTATTATGTGAACGCAGGTACTGGCAGGGTGGGGCTATGGGGTGGGGTGAGAGAGGTACCCTCCACTTCTTGCGGAAGGGGATATCCAATTACTACTACTATCCTTACTACCACTACCACTGACGCTACTACTGCTGCTACTAATACTACCATGCATGACTACTGTAACTACTACTACTACTACCAAGGGCGGTTATCCGGGGGAGGGGGGAGGGGCGGGGGGATACGTCCCCTCTCATTTTTTTATAGGGGGGTCGTCCCCCCTCTCCAGAAAAAATTGAAACAAAAAAATGTATAGCAAATACTGACTAAAGACTTCAACACACTTCTAGGCTCTGGAAGGCCCAAGAGTGCAGCTTTTAATAGACTAATCAAAATGCAAAAATATCAGTTTCGCTCGGTCGCTTCTCTCCCTCACATAATATCCTTCAAAGTTAATATTGTAGAAAATGTGTATTCCATTAGTATTAGGTAAGCACAGTTTACACTGTATGCTTACAAGGTTAAGAGTTATACTTATAGAAACAGATCAGTGCTACAAAAATGAATATTTCGCTTGCTCTTTTAAGCAGACCCTTCCTGCCTAGTTATATAAATATTGTCGCCTAAGGGGAAATGGTGTAGTTCCTTCATTACATGACCTTAATCTAAAGGTAATACAAAGTTTTGGTATGGGGTCATGAATTTGGTTCAATTGAACTTATTGGAAGCACTGATTCGATCCTACAATTTTCAGTGATCGTTGTCGCGGTTGAAATCGAGTCTAAAGTGATGAAATTGTAAATAATAAAGTCTTCATGTTGTATAGCTCCCTCCCAAGGTCGAGATATTAATTTAGCTTTAAAGGTGAAATTCAAAGAAAATCACAAATATGTCAACTAATGTATCACTAGAAACTGGTAAGCTAACAGATGGCCATCGTACAAGTTTGAGGTCAGCTACATATCGGGTGATTTATAAAAATAAAAATACAACCACCTCCATAGCAGCTGGGATATACGAGAGATTCGCCAGAAAAATAACGATGTTTTAATGACGTCACAACAGGGACCAATACTGCCCAAGCAGACGACATCCCATAAAGAATGAACATAATTGCAAAGCTATTATTTGTCAAATTATAATGAGTTTAGTGTATATAAATGTAATGGCACGTCAAACCGATCAAAAGGGGACATGACCCGATTCTGATAACTAAAATCTTTTGCTTGGAAATACACAGGATAGGGGTTAATTAACAATCAAAGAAACCAGACTTTCAAATTGAAAAGCCCCCGGATTGATATTAAGGAAGGCATTTGTTCCCTCTTAAAAACGCCGAACATACTGCGGTGTCTGCAGCTGAATATACAATGGCGTCTTATTTTGTTTACAAGCGACAGATTCCTTTATTTTTGTATCGCTGCATTTGTCATCAAAATAAAACCATGCGCGGGGTTTAGAGTGAGGCAATAGATTATACATTTAGCCTGACGGTAGTGAAGTAAGAGAAAGAACTCAAGAGAAGATGAAAACACAGGCACTGAAAATGTGTGAGATGTCATGGGATATCGTCTGCTTGTGCAAATCATGTCCCTGCTGTGATCTCACACATCTCAGCAGCGTTCGGAGAGCTATTCAGGTGCTATGCCGGGGCTGTATTTAAGCGTTTTGTAATTTATGATAATCATTGCTTCGAATATTTCCAAGCATTGAATTTTGATAACCTTGTCGAATCAAAGTTTCAACTTTGCAATAATGAAAATAAAGCTAGATTTAAAATCAATGAATATCTACTTTAAAACAACGTTTCTTGACTAAATTGATCGACTTGCTATTCCCTTTGGAAATTATATATCCGGCCATTTTCAAAATTTCCCATTTTAATGTTTCACTCACATTCTGAAATCCCATCCATGCCCACTGCCAGCTCCCTACTTACTAATATTGACCTACTCAATATTTACAAGTTTACAACCCTTCGGAATGCACACTAATTACCGGCAATGTAAAAGTGAAGTGTGAAAAAAGTATATTGCTTGTTTTTACACTGTAGTTTTGCAAAGGAATGTATACATTTTAGAACATTTTAATACAACAAAACTTCAAAAACCTGTGAGGGGGACAGTCACTTCATCATTTTCGCCTCTCTCGTTCACTATGCCCCCTCGTCCCTCCCATTTCCCCCCCCCCCGGTCATGAAAAGAAATCGCCGCCCCTGACTACATACTACAACTACTACTACTACTTCTACTACTATTCATACTATTTCTATCAGTACAACTACCACCACTACTACTTCTACTACTACTGATTATACTGCTACAACTATACTACATTATTATAATTATCATTATTACTATTATTGTTGTTGTTATTATTATTATTTTTATTTTTGGTATCGTTATTATTATTATCATCATCGTTATAAATATTACTATTATTATTTTTATAACAATAAAGAAAATGACAAGGTGGTAGATTTTATTAATATATAGTTGTTTTTTAATCGAAGAATTTATAAGTATTTCCTTTTGTTCACATAAAAGTATAAAAGAAATTATATCTATTTATGTCAGTTATTTATACCTTTATTCACTTCTTTTTCCTGATTTCTACAAAACATTTAAATTCTAATTTACTCGCTATATAGCTCCAAATACCCCCCCCCCTATAAACTAATACGAACCGACATTACCCCTATACCCTTTTTATAATGCCATCTTACCAGTCTTCGAGGTACTCAGACTTTCGATGAAAATACCTTGGTCACTCTGGCATAGGTAAGGGGTGCCAGTAAACATAATGATGATGGGGCGATAACCAGAATTTCTTTGCAAAACTAAGTGGTCAATAGTTAGTAGCAAGTAATTATTGGCCATGGTGATAAATAAGTGAAGAAATATATCACTAATTATAACCATAACAAAAATAATGACAATAATAATAATACATTTCATTTTCCTATTTAAGAGCTTTTAAATCAGTAGGATTCTCGCTTGAAAGGATAAATTAAACTCAAGTCCCCTAAATCAAACGCAAATTTACCTCACTGTTTTTTAGTTGTAACCCGGTCAGTCGCGCTTTTAGATCAAGGGTTCTAAAATTAAATGGTTTTATCATCTCTTTCTTTCTTGCTCCTTTCCCTATTTTCTCTCTCTCTCTCTCTCTCTCTCTCTCTCTCTTTCTCTCTCCCCTTTCTCTGTATGTGCCTGTCTTGCTTTCCCATTCTCACCTCCACCTTTAAATACTACTCTATTGCTCTCTTTCTTTCTCAATTTCTGTCATATAAAACATGTTATTTAATTTTTTTAAATAGGGTTTATTCTGGAGTTTGAAATGAGTATGATATTGTTATGTGTTAGGAATTATCAATGTTTTCATGAAAACTGACGTTAAAATGTTTTATTTTCCGTTATAATGTTATATTTAGAGGTTTGCTTCAACGCCAACCGTGGAGGATATTACAACAGAGATCACAATCTACTCTAAATCTTCATGTGATATAACACATCTAATGACGATAATCTTTTCCATGATATATAATTCGATCGCCCATACAAAACGGGTCGATACTCCCTCTGTATGTAAATTGGCAGAGGGTCGGTTTCGCAAACAAAAGGGTGTAATTCGTACATGTCTGTATAGCCACAACCCATATACATGAGATCCTCCTCTCTGAAAATCGATAATTATACCAGACTACAAAACAAAAAAAGACCCGTATAAAGACGTCTTAAGGAATACCAGAGTAATGGCGTGGGGCGGGACAGGACAAACAAGATGTCATTTTGCTTGTCATTATTGGCCCACAGGATAGTTATAGTTTTTGTTGATTTTCCTCGGCATGCAGGGATTTAGACTGTAAGGAGCCGTTCAGACAGGAGTCACACAATGGAGTTGACGCTTATATAAACTTTGCAATTGACAATGGTTTAAGTATTTCGAGAAGTCTTGTTCATTTTCGTTTCAGTATCTTCGCCCAAAATGACAAGATGGCGTAACGCACGAAGGTGTATTTATATAGCACCTTGTGATGATATTCTGGTGTAAGCTAACTTCAACTATGGATTACCGACAAGTTTCTCGCTCACTTATAGTCTGTTCAAATGAGAAATTAATTATGTATCATTCGACTTTTGGTTCATCGAAAGAAGGAAGACATTCCGAAACTATATGATGCTGCAGGCTCATGATGGATATTTTGACGAATACAGGAAGTACAGGTATATATACTTATAAAATCATACTTGATTATAGTTTGCAATTACTTGTATGTGTTCGTTCATACATAGGTCAACTCTATGTTGTTTCATGTCGGCATAATCATTATGTGCATGGTACTGAGTGAATGCATACTAGTCTAAGAATGAAAATTTAAACATTATTATGTAGAGTTATTATGGTTAGGCCTATATAGACTAGTGAGGGAGAATTAACTGAGCTGTATAGCAGTATGATGCAGAACATGCAAGTGTGGGCCAATATTTCCCCACGTACACCTACAGGCTTTAATAAGTAACAAAATATAGGACATTGTTAATACTACATTTGTTATTCTTTGTCTTCATAACGATTAGGATAGCACTACAGTCCTGAAGAAAGAATGACGACTGCAATGATGATACAGAAACGCAAGGTAAAGACACTATAGATGTAACGACGGTTACAGCGCATAGAAAATTATAATTTTTTTTCATGTGTATTATTATCAATATTGCTATACAACTTGAACGTAAATTATTATCATATTGACATATTATGCAATATTATGATGGCCCTCTATGTTACTACTTCGAATATTAGCCAAATATAAATTCAGTGTAGATAATAAATTCAAATTTCTGTCCTTTGATATTTACGAACATTTATGGTTAGAGTGTCCATTCATCACTAGTGATTCCATCTCTCTGTTTCTTACAGCGTGATAAGGCCCAGGAGCAGCTCCGAAGTCGAATGCGACAGCGGGGAGAAGGTGAGACAGTTTGTACATTACCCCCCCCCCCCCTCCTCCCCTTGTTGGCAATGTGACTCAAGTGACAGGAAACATTTCATTGAGCAGTTGCATTAATCTATAAATAATCCCTGCACATATTTTGCTTATGTTTACATTTGATCTGCATGTCCTTAACATCACTTTCCTGATGTATTGTTATGCGTAAGCGTATCGAGATGTTTCGTATATATAGTAATGTTCTTCTGTCATTTGAGTTTTGTGACTATACAGTCTGCTAGGAATGTGAAATCATTTTGTTGGTATGTAGTGCTATTGAATTGCCATGAAACTTCAAAAGGTTACTCCCCCTCCCCCCCCCCCCCCCCCCCCAAAAAAAAAAAAAAAAATCGAGTGATAACAGATGTGACTCATCTTAAGAGTAAAAATGTAGTAAAAATAAAGTTCAAATTACTCTTTTCTTTACTGAGAGCACTCGATAAATCGGTATTCACTCTTAAACAAGACAGTAATTGCTTAAGTAACTCCCGGGGGAGTGAGAACTACAAGTGAAATTCCCTCTTTTCTTTTTAAGCAGTAATGAAATCGAATAAGACATCTTTATGTGTGACTCATCAAATATATTATCTCTTTTAAAAAAAATGTTATGAAAGGACATGGAACCTCATCTACAATACTCCAAGCCCGGCGACGGTACACACTTCGTGATGGAAAACGTGACACCAGTCTGTCGGGAGGCATGATGAATAATGCATCATCTATAACCGTGACGCCGGGGGATCTTCTGGGTACTAACTACATGCATTGGTAGGTTACCATAGAGACAACATCATGGAATCAAACTGCTCTTATGCTAATGCGCAACAGTGTGCATATCAATATTTAATGTTAGAAAATTATAATTATGTCTATATTACCTTCGTCAGTAAATCGTATTTCGTGGTAAACTTATTCATCTTTATCATACCGATTCGGTTAATCGATTAGAGAAAGTGATGTTCAATTAGGCTGGCCTACGTTTAACATAATTATCCATCTTCCAATTAAAATATTAATACTGGGACGCGTGCTCCTAATAGAATGGCGAAAAGGGGGAAGAACGAAAAATATAGAAAGGAAAGGGAAAAAAAAAAACCCTTACCAGTGACCTTTTTGATTTTATCCATCGACATTTAGAAATTAAGACACCCCCCCCCAAACGTGACGATGCCTCCTCAATTTTGGGACCCACACAAACGTCGCTGACTACCTTTATAAACCTGTACCCATCTTCTTTTTATATGGATTTCCACATTCCTATGATAGAGTGATCGCTGAGACTTTCGAGAGATCAAGTCGAGGGCAATTCGAATAACTTGTTGTTTTGTCTATAGAAATTGGATCAACTGTTTGTCTTATTGTAACGTTCGCACAACTTCCAAAGGTGACGCACGAGCAGGCGCGTAGCCACGGGGGGGGGGCACGGGGGGGCACGTGCCCCCCCTAAAATTTCCAGGATCGGTTGAAATTTTGTAGACCCCTTTTTTTGACCTCGATCGATTACATGTATGTGCCCCCCCAAACATCAAACTCTGGCTACGCGCCTGCGCACGAGGCTTTTGAAATGGCCTTAGGAAGACTTCTTTGAAAGTCTATATGCAATCTTGTGTATGTATCATCATGTTCCAACTTCCAACCTTGCTATCTTCCCCCATTACAGGCAGCCAGACATGTTGCCCTCCTCCGGCGGGGTTGTCTCAGATCGTACGCAATCCGACATAAAGGGCGCCGATCCGATCCCTATGAGTGAGCTCATCAAAAGAGTCTTGCAGAGGAAAGTGGATAACCTAGAGCTGGGCTCGAGCATCTTACCCATAGGGTAAGTGAGCTGACTTGTTGTGAAGATAGATGTGGTCATCGGGGTTGTCATTGGGGAGGGGGCAAAATTTTGCCCCCTGCCCCCGTCCTGTAGATGGATTGACGCCTCTAGTTCTCTTGAATCAATGAACATTTTTTTTAAATTGAAAAATCATATTTCAAATAGACATTAGAAAGGATTTGGATTCTTTAGCTATCAAAATTCATTAGCAAAAGTAATTGTCAATACAATTTTTTCAATTCAGTTCAGTAAATATTTATTTCCTTTACAATATTTTTTTGAACATTATCATGAAATATATTCATGTATCAACAATACCTGAATGAAAACGGGAAAAAGACATAGTAGCGTATAGGCCTATACTTCATGTACGTGTGATAAAAACACAATTCAGCAGGTTCGACTTATTCATTATTTACGACTTCCATTAACAAATTAATTGTATGATATCGATACAGATTATGATCATAATATAGTGTAGATACTCAAAATGTGATATGACATGGTGATGGTTCACATTATAATTATATAGAATAATATAAGCGCTTAAAATTTGAAAACTAAAGCGAGTGAATGAACTGATGATAAGTATATTAGATGTATACTAGCTTTCACTTTAATTTATTTTTGTCGCCCCAGAGCTGTGAAAGGGCATTTTTTTCTTCAAAATCTATATAAGGAAATACAATCAAGTTTTCTGCATTAAACTCTTGTATTTTTCGTTGTTATTCTTGAACTTTGTTTGATATAGGAACCTGAAGTCTCGCCATGTTCCGTACGCACTACGACACAGTTCACATGTCAAGTAAGTTGTTGTAGGAGTTCTTTTTTTCGTCATATGTCAGTATCACTCAAGTTCAGTGTCATTTAGACAAATATAAAGAAAGCATGATCCGGACAAATCTCATGATTTTCCAAGGACATTAACATAATAGCTATATCCAGATATTTTCTGTATTATCCATCAAGCATTGTGTCATTTTTCGGCACCTGTCATATTGGTAGCCGGATGCCTCACGCCATCAAATTATGTTCCTAAAAATACGAATTGTGTCACTGTGTTCGTAGTATAGAGGCATCATGCTCCAGTCCCTCTTTGTGAATAATAATGATCGAACATTCCTTTATGAGGAGATGATAAATCAACACGTATATTTTATAAATGGAAATAAAGACAAAAAGAAGAGGGGAAAAGTATGAAAGAACGGCTTAGCACATCCACAAAATATGCACAGGTGATACACTTTACCTCGCCGGTTACGTCGAGTTTAGTTTTTGAAATTTCACTATCATAACATTACATAACAGCTATTCATGTATTTGAGAGTACATGACATGTAATACTATTTTTTATGAATTATCTTTCATTCATAGGAAAATTGTGGGTACGATGTCCAAACACAAAGCGAAAGAAAGCACCAATAAACCGATTGTCGTGGTCGTCGACAATAAAGAAACTGACGCCAACGGTCAACGTCGCTTAAGAAGTCATGCAAAGCTAAATAACCAATTAAAACCACGACCGACAATTGAAAGTACCCCTTCTATACAGGATGGTTCTCAAGGATCTAGTGCTTCGAGGACTTCCTTAAAGATTGATGAGCCTCAGACTCGTCAATTACCAAGTGATCAAACTCGTCCTGACCCAATCGGTCAGCCCCATAGAGGTAACGACATTTTGTCGAATTATCGGCTGCAGACTACAAGAGCGAAAGAGATGATTGGTAAACAAATGGCGTTGCAGCATCGCGACACAAGGAAACAAACTTTGAACAAATGGACAATGCAAAAAACAAAACCCCTACCCGCTATTAAATCCAAGACTTCCAGCAAACGGGACAAAAGCTTGACGAGTCGTTTAATTGAGGATGCGATTATTAAGAGCAAGACTCGATGTTCGTCTGGGGACGATATCATTAATCTGAAAACGGCTCAGTCAGAAGCGATGCAGAAACTTGAAGATATGGGCGAACCGACGTTACTTGGAACGCCTCGGAGATCCACACATAAGATGCTACGATTTAAGAATAATTTGGGCAAGGTGGATAGACTGTTGGCCATAGAGGAAGATAAATGAACGAGAAGATGATAAATCAACACGTAGCCTTTATGTTATGAATGGAAATATACAGGTGATACACTCTACCTCGCCGGTTGCGTCGAGTTGAATTTTAAAAATTTCACTATCATAACATTACATAACAGCTATTCATGTATTTGACAGGACATGACATATAATCATATTTTTGATGAATCACACAAGTCAGCAATCCCTCTGGTTTGAAGGAGAACCGGTCGAATTCAGATTCAATATCAAGGTCGAAATCACCGAGGGCATCATGTCAAATGGTTCTTCTGTTTCGAAGAAGGCCATAGACGATGGTGGATAGGCTACTCATAGTGTGGGACCTGGTTCTTTCCAAAGTTTCTATACGGAGTAGTAACATGCAATAAGATGTAAATTTAAGTTTCGAGAATGGAGGAGGGGGGAATGACCTGTCCAGATGAATCTTGGAGAGGGTCCCTTTCTTCTACCGTCACGCTACGTAGTTTACTTCAAACGTACCGTTCTTTCACCCATTCTAATTCATCCTTGCTCTTTTCTTGCCATGGGGGGGGGGGGGGGGGGTGCTCTCTTAGCCACTGTACATTGCATTAAGCACTTGGTTGCATTATGTACAGAATATACTGATTTACAAACTACGCAAACTGCTTAGACAGTTACTTGTATTAACGAAATTATTTATTGTTCACCATATTCACGATAAAAGTACATGATCTACAATTTGTTTATATGAATGTATATACACATTTAAATTTCAACAATCGGTGTCCAGTTCACTGGTATAATGGACAGTTTAAAACGCTTTTCATGTATAATATGTATTTCTATAGTTATGTCTAAATTTAGATGGATGACATTAGTTTAGTCTACGCAAGGATGGGCACAATGAAAATTAATATGAGCAGTGATGATGCGTGAAAACAACCTCTCTCTCAATATTGTGTGATTTTATGAGGTAGAATTAATGTATACCGTAAAATCCTGATATGGGAAAAATTATTTACACAATTTTTTTTAAAGGATTGCAGATACAGAATGGTTATCTATAAATACCTTAAACATTCATGATTCCTCTCAAATAGTTTGTATTTCGATCATTCATATTTGATGTGTTATAATATATAGGTATACAAGATCTTATGAATATATGTAGAAAGTTTGTTCATTGTACACCACAGTCGTGATTCGTATACCATTCTTATTAAACAATGTTTATCAAACATTTAAAAAGCTAAAACAAATTCGTTCATTCGTGTTCAATTTTCGCTGCTTCAACACTTTTACCTCTGAAAGACGAATCAGTAACTATCTACATGAAAAGCAGACTCAGATATCTAACCATTCGTAAAATCACATTTGATGATGTAACGATTATCTTCATACATGAACAGCCTCGAATACAGCCTCAGTATATAGTTCCATGCATATTTATGATCATTTATTAAAAATGATTCAGAGAAAAGATACCAACCGTTTCAATACAAATATAGCGAGGAGAAAATCTATGCCATAATAGTTTGTGCACAACTTTATCGACGTAAAATGGTTCTTATTATACGCATTAAAGTAAGATCAAGAAGCACGGCGATTAAATGCTTCAGAGTCACGGGGTATATACATACATGATTATACAAGTCTAACAATATTTCAGTAACAGATCACATATAATTGTGTCGAGTGAAATCTAAATATAACAATCAAAGACATAATCTGACGCTCATATAGAAAGATGACGTCATAGTCCTAGTCTTTCGTGGTTCTCCCATAGCCAGTCATGGTACTTGTTGAGCATGTGATCCTGTGGTTTGACCTACCAAACAACAGACAAACAAAAGAATCAAACATTTTAAAAACAATGTTATGAAGATGATGCAATGTCTTCAAAATTTTGTTTTTAAAAAATGACAATAGTTTGACTTAAAACACTGAACACGAATAATAACAATATTAATAATAATAGTGGGTTCTTGTACAGCGCTCATGTCTGTCAGACTTGACACTCCTGCATTGCGTTCCATGAAATAAAGATGGGATATTCAAGCATAAAATTTCAGAAATAGTACGAGAGAAAAAATGAGTAATAGAAAAAGAGATGGGTCTAAGACAAACATATATATAAAAATAAAAAAAAGATGGCGAGGAGTTGGAAAGAGAGAGAGAGAGAGAGAGAGAGAGGGAGAGAGAGAGGGGGAGAGAGAACGAGATGAATAGATGTTATGGACATGAGAGAGAAAGTGAACAAGGGGAGGAAACTTTCAAGATAGGAAAAACAAAAATTATACCTCTTTCCATTCGTTGACGCAGAAGATTCTATAGGAGTCGTTGCCATATTTCCCAATGCCGGACAACTCGATAGGATAAGTCCAGTCTTTAGTCAGAAACTCATCTATGAAAAGAATGATGTAGTTCAAACCATATTTTGGTGAACGAGAAATTATTAAAGCATGGTATTGGAAAACGTAGATTTGATTTCGAAAACAAACAATATATATATATATATATATACAGTGGCGTACGCAGGATTTTTTTTTCAAGGGGGGGGGGGGGGTTTCCCCCAAAACATACATAAAACATACACATAAAAAAAAACTCGAGGGGGGGGGGTTTAACCCCAAAACCACCCCCCTGCGTACGCGCCTGTATATATATATATATATATATATATATACAGTGCGACCCAGAAAAACCGAAATCGAGAATTATCGATGTTTTATCATAACTTAAACACAATTATAATGAATAAATGATACATATTTGTAAAGCTTAGATCCTCCTCTTTTATTTGATGCAACTCATACGATGCACATTACACGCATGAGTGATTAAAAGCAATTTAAAGGAAGGAAACCAAAAAGGCATTTGGCGGGCGGTATCTGAATTTCGAAGAAAAATTCACATTTTTAGAAAGTTCAGTTTCTGCCCTTTCACATGACACCACAATCAGGAAAAATGAGCAAGGAGCAACAAAGTTCTGTTTGTTTAAAGTGATGCTTGCATTTCCATAATTTGATTTAAAAGTTCGTTTTCACTGGCTGACTGTCGTAGCAACAAGCAGAATTGACAAAAGACTTAACTCCGTTTCATTGACAATCAGCCATAATGCATGAAGTCTTCCCCCCCCCCTCCTCCTCTGGATAATGCAACGGATACTAATGAGCAGAGTGGCGAAAGCATAGACAGCCACATCCTGGTTTGGCTATCATCTTGAAGGATATTAACTAGCCATTGTGGCGATAAGAAATAATTTAGAAGTTCAAGCGGATTTATGTCAAATAGTTAGATATTGTTATGAAGAAAAAATCTAACCCTGGGATAAAAGTTAAAAGTGGGATAAGTGCGTTATGGTAACAATGGTATCAACTTCAAGCAGGAAATCAAATATTCGAACTCCTCCTCTCTCTCTTTCTCTCTCCTCTCCCCCTCTCTTTCTCCCTCCTCCCCCTCTCTCTCTCTCTCTCTCTCTTTTGATCTCTCTCTTTTTCTCTCCCCTAAGTTCTTGCTCATATACTTACCAGAAAATTGAATGAGCATCTTTGCGCGCTTCGTATGAAGGCCCAGTGGTTGTATTAGATCAGCGATCGACTGCCAGTCAGCTGATCGAGTCTTCTCTGGTGTGTCCCAAGTTTGAAAGAACTGCCAGAGAACAGGGATGGCTTTCGATCCTGCAGATAAAAAGTAGAATAACGTTTTTTTACGATTAGATTCACTCCCGAATGCACAATATAAAATAATCAAAATAATAATAATAATAGGAGCCTAATACTCCACTCCAAATTTTATTAAACCGAAACAGAAATTCTTTTTGCCCAATTGATCGTGAGCCCGGCAGCCACTGAGCAGCGTCAGATCGACGTTGCTCTATCCCTTATTGTTGAACGCCAAACAAGGTAGCAACAACAATGTTAAATAAAATATCATTAATTTGAAGCCCGACCCCGGACATCATTTCAATCATTGTATACGATTTGCTGATTTAAATATACAAAAGACTCATAGTTGCGTTATTCAGCGTAAAAAGAAACCGGCATATGCCCCTACCCGTTTGAACGCAGAGGAAAAAAACAAAACAATTGGTTCTAGTTTAAGCAACAACAAAAAATCAATGGTACCATGAAACTGGGATGTAATGCTTAAATATGAAAACTCATTTTCCTGCTTGCTTGTAATATTTTGGGGGTACTCCGAACAGTTTCCTGACATTTTTTTTTATCACTGCCGGATAAACTTTTCGCTCCCCCCTCCCTCTTCGCTTTCCGACAATCCTGAATCCGCCCCTGCATGGAGGAGTCATTACCTTTGGTTCTGTTGAGGAAGATGGTAGCTACGAGATGTTTCCAGGGATCGTGGAACAAGCTTTCCTGGACCAGGTTGTATGGTGATCGAGGCGGGGTCCATTGCGAGGAGGTAGACGATTTGCTAGGGTTTGGTGACGGTAGCACGACCTTCTTCCTACCGAAGTACGGGCTCTTCCTCGTGGTGGTGGAGGTCGTCGTCGTTGTGGAGTTCGCCGTCGCTGTACCTAATCGTGCAGAGCGGGAACGGGTGACACGGTGAGAAGCGTTTTCAGTCTTCTGAGCTGTAAATGTGCAGAATAGAAAGAAATATAAAAATAAAGAAACGAGTCATGCAATGGAATTTTGCTATAGTAACCGCTACGCTATATACCGCATAATGAAGATTATATAGGCTTCTGATTGATAAAGACTGCAATATTGACTGCAAAGTTGATTGCGATATTGGTCAAAACAAATATTGACTCGAGAATCAGGAATACACTGCAAAGTTCAGTTCCAAGATCACCTTGGGCAATAGTTTTAACCGTGCCCCTCAAAGCAGTCAATACTCCCCGTGTTATTTGCCGAATCTTACAATAGTTACAATTGATTATGGTCTGAAATGAACAAAAGCATATTCTCATAAGATTATCCAAGACGATTGAAGGGACTTTCAAAATATCGAAATATACAATCGTGATAAAAAAAATGATATTGGCAATACAATATGGTATAGGATTTCACTTCTTGTAAATCTTTGGGAGTGTCGTGGTCGAGTGGTTTAAGGCTCTTGACTGGAGATGCGAAGGTCGAGGGTTCGAATCCCGACACGGCACTAATATCCTTTGGCAAGATATTAACCTGCACTTGCTACTCTCCACCCAGGTGTCAAATGGGTACCCGGTAGGATGCGGCCGTCATTGTTGGTCAAACAGCTTGTGAGCGTCAAGTAACGCCCGGCTGGAATGCTCCCCAGGGAGTGGAGATTGTGCACACAGTGTGTGCGGGAGAGCACTGAATCCAATGACCGGGGTAATTGTAAAGCGCTTAGAGACATTTGTATTAAGCGCTATAAAAAAAAAAATTAAATATTATCTTTTGCGATCTATAAAAGGGATATAACGTTCAGCCAATGGCATCCCCCCAACAAAAAATGGCATCCATTATTCGATTTTCTTTCATGTCACTTCAGGAAGTTAATTTTGTTTTCATCATCAAGAAAAACTATTGCTATTATACACAGCTGTTGTAAATAGCTGTTATTTTATGATATGGACAAAATAAAGTCCCTCGAAAGAGGATAAATAGAAAATACGACCTGGTGATGTTCATTTTTTCTCATTGATTGTGGAGAATGCATGTTTACTTTAAAAGACTTATGGTTTACCAGATGATTCATTATGACTATCCACGATTGAAAATGAAACTAATTGAAAGTGGTAACTTTTGTATAAAGTAAAAACTGAGTGATAGACGGCAATCAGGAGTGGTTACAGATTTTTTTTTTTTTTTTTGGGGGGGGGGGGGGGGGGAGGGGGGGGGGGGTAAGAGGTGTGCATGGGTGTTCTTGCATTTGTTTTCGACATGTGCCTCGCAAACGTTTTAGAGGATAGCCAGGATAGCCAGGTATTTTAAAGAGGTATCCTTGATGCAAATGGAACATTAACAAAAAACATCTTTCAACATTTTCCTACATTCGCGCGTGCGCGCATTTTATAAAGTTTGCTCGCATTGCTATTTGGATGAAGGCTACCCCAGGCCACCTTGGGGGCATATACCCCCATTTGAACAACTATAGATCTCCCTTTCCTGCATGGGTGATTCATACAAATTTGGTTGGAATCCAGCCATGGGTTTTTAAGAAGAAGAAATTGTCAAATTACTGCCGCTGAGGAACTTTGGGGGCGCTGCCCCAGGCCCCTTTGGGATTACGTACTCCATTTGAACAAAATAATATAGATCACCCTTGCCTTGCCAAAATCCTGCCTTTCATTTTTTGAGAAGTAAAACATGTAATCCAGGGGACCTTCAGGGTAGGGGGCTACTCCCAAGCCTTCTCCCTCTGGAGGAGTCGATCAGTAGCACTTCAGAACAATTTCATATCCCCCTTTCCCTTAGGAATGCTTCCTATCGAGTGAAGTCAAATTTCTTCATGAATTTTAAAGAAAGTAAAACAAAAAAGTATATTTATTGCCATAGGAGTACTTTGGGGATGCTGCCACGAAGTCACCTTGTTCGGCATCCATTTGAACAACTTTAGATCTCCCTTTCCTGCAGGCAGGCGCGGATCCAGGATTTCTTAGGGGAGGGGGCCCAACTTTTTTTTTTTTTTGCTCCTCAAAAAAATTTCGCTCAGTCGCTCAGTGGGGGGGGGGGGGGGGGGGGGGTACAGAGCACAATTTTTTTTTTTTTTTTTTTTTTTTTTTTTTGTTTTTTTGCTCCCGAAAATTTGAAAAACGCGCCGGCCAAAAATTCGCTCAGTGGGGGGGGGGGGGGGGGGGGGGTAGTGAGCACATTTTTTTTTTTTTTGATCCTCAAAAAAATTTCAATTTGCACCCCCCCCTTGAGCGCCAGGGGGGGGGGCCCAACCCCCAAAAATCGTAAAAATCACGTGATTTTACATGATTTTTTCTCAAGGGGGGGGGGGGGGCCCGGGCCCCCGGGCCCCCCCCCCCCCCCTGGATCCGCCACTGTGAGAATCCAGCCATGAGTTTTCAAGAACAAAATTTCCAATAAACTGATGAAATTTAGAGGCACTGTCCCCAGGCCCCCCTCCTCCTCTCCGGGGTACGTATCACCCCCCCCCCCCCCCCCGCTAAAAAAAAGGCAAAGGAAAAAAGATGTGTCAATGGCCACCACTGAATACCATACAGTAGAATCTCGTAATACCAACAGCTGGTATCTCTTTGGTAAATACCGTAACCATAGGCAAAGTCGCTAGTTTTTGTGTTAGGTACAATAAAAGGCCCCCCGCTTGCATGAATGTCTTTGTAGTGTAGTGGTTATCACGTCTGCTTTACACGCAGAAGGTCCCCGGTTCGAGCCCGGGCGGAGGCTCTCTCTTTTGCTACTTTGCTTTGACTTCCATTATTATTGAAACCTCGTTATATCAAGGTAACTCATCGGTGATCAAAAAGAAGAGCAACACACAGAACAGTACGAAGCAGAATTACCTCGTTTAAAATTGGTTATTACGATGTTGCACTGTAACAGAAAATTCCCGTATTTAAACATGCAAATAGAGTGAAACCTCATAATAATATTATAAGTCCTTGGACCACAAAAATCGTCTCATTATACAACAATGCAGGTAGCAACTTTTTGTTTGCAGTATTTCCTACACAAGACAAACCAGTTTAGTTACGGCAGGTTAAATTGGTTTATTACAACGGGGATCGACTGTAACAGCAAACCACTTCCTGCATTGACATGCAGATGTTAGATCCATCCAAAGGAAGTCGGGCTAACTCGACTCAAAGACAACTCGGCTCAGCTGCAAAAACGGTCAGTTTTTGTTTTTGCAGGTTTAGGGTTAGGTTTAGGGTTAGGGTTACGGTAAAATGACAAAAAATGACAGTTTTTGCAGCTGGGCTGAGTTGTCTTTGAGCCGAGTTAGCCCGGATCATTTGGCTAGCCGAGGACGGTGGAAAGGAGTGAAGGGTGGCGATAAGTTCAGTGAACACATTTTGCAATTTTTTAAATGTATATATAATATTTAAATTATGAACATCAAAGACAGGGCAAGGCCCATCTTTTGCTTCATAAATCCATTCGGTAATACATGTTTATGACAAGCTTTTTATTTCAGTGTTATCACATTTTAAAAACAATATTATTTGATTGACTACATGTGTACCGGTATTATAATTTTGCTGATCATTTCAAATTATTATTCATCATACCATTTTATATTTCACAAACATCAGGATTTTTTCTTTGCTTTTATATAATTTTGCCAGTAATAGTTTCACTTAAAATAATACCTGTCCGGAAGCTGTAAATAATCAGTTTCCTTGAATGAATAAATTATATTATATGGGGTACAAGGTCCAAAATGTTTGATGTAAAAATACAGAATTTGTCTTTTCACACAAAATCACTCAAAAAGAATATACAATAAACATCCATTTGGAAGTACAAAATCTGTATGAAATTTTAATTGAATAAAACAACACAATCTTATATGATTGCAATGGTGCACAAAAAAATAGATGTAAATCCTTTTTGAAATTTCATCCATGTCTAAATTAAACAGAAAAATAGTCAGGAATGGTGATGTTCAAAATTCATGTGCATACAGGTACATTCAGATAATCAGTTAGATATTGACAGATGTAACAGATAGCTAGAATTATATAACTTCAGTTTGTAAATGCTCATGAAAAACAAACCCCACCACTTTGATAAAAGATATTAAATTATCCAGTATTTACAAACAACTTTACAAGTAGATGTATTAAAGAATTGAAAAATATATTCCTTTTAATAAAAATTCAGACAGTATCACATGTCCATACATACTTCTTTTCTGAGATATCCAATAATTTTAAAGTGACCAGCTATATTATGCACACCAAGTGCTGTCTGCTCCTATATGAATCATACATTATCATTTTTTGTCCAAGTACAAGTACTTGTACACACCCTTCACTCCTTTGATACAATCCACATATTTATTTTAAAAAATTATTATACCTAGCCTACCACTACAGCTAGCTGAATCTTGATCAGTGAGACTGCCTATTCATTGAAGTAATTCGAATCAACTTTGCTTCTGATAAGGCTCAGGTAACTTGTATCATTCATAAAGTGGTTAGAATCATAGTTGCCACATGTGCTCTGGTCTTGTTGGAAATCTTTAAAACATTTCACTTCTTCTCTAGTCCTCATTCTGGAAACCAACCTCAGAAAGACATTTCCTACATATATACAATTCAATATAAAGCATAAAATCCACACCACTCCCTCCCTCCTCTATCAAAGAATTTCTCTGTGAATTGAAGGCAATACACATAGTTATTTGAAATGAGTGTACATACCCATCACCATGCACTCGTGCCAATAATGAAGTGAACAGATTTGAAGTACCCATGCAAACTATAAAGGAAAGACTAGGTTATGGTCAATGTGAAACTGATTTCGATCAAAACCACGTCAAGTGCGTGATAAAGTAACATTAATGTTACATCTCCTTTATCAAAAATACTCCATGTATACATCTATTAACATTACTTACACAGTATATAGTCATTCAGTCCAGAAGCAGAACTTAAACATATATTATCAATAAGAGAAAAGCATGCAATCAATTACTCAAGACTTTTTGGACAAAATCTCTGATAAAGGTTTGCTCTTAAGTCTATAATTCATTTTTTTTCTTCTCCTAAATGTTTGAAGTATTCTACTTTGCAGAACTGAACATTTTAAAACTTTTATTTTGAAATTCTGACACAGAAAAAATCTGAAGCTAAAACCATGAGAATTTTGTCATATTACATAAACTCAGGTAATTGTCTTCAAATTTCTGATTTTGAAGAAAGAAAAAAAAATGTCCTCCTGTTCTTGCTCATACTGCTCCATGTAAGTGACACTTGAAGATTAAGAGTTATAAATATCATTAAATAATTCTTTTAACAAAAAATGATTCAAAATCATACAAACATGCAGTTTTCTACAACAAATTTGGATACTAATAACTGAAAAGAATACAATATAAAAATAGGCTCATTCACTGTGTGCATGATGTTACACTTAAAGATAAAGGTGAGTTCTGGTCATCCGATTGCATTGTGAAAGAAAAGGTGTGGAATGAATCAAAAAAAGTAGATCATGTAAGTATTGGTGTGTACTGCAAAGTTCTGGAGTCATCAAAATCATAATAAATTTGGCCCAGTTTTGGTAAAGTAACAAGCACTGTACACAGAAAGATGTATATGGGACTACACAAATGGTGTCTGGGCTACTAACCTTGAACTCCTAATCTTTCTATGCTCATTACTCAGCCAGTGTACATTTTCTATCAAAATTGTTTGGCAAATGACATTTATTTGTAATCTTGAACATTCAGTGTAAGTTTCGTTTGATTCTGTGAGTATTAATTTTCTTTTTTTCCAACCAGAACTCACCTTTGTCTTTAATCCAATGCTCATAAATTCCAATGACCTCCTAATCCCATACTTCTATGTCCTAGCATCCCTATGTCCTACACACCTATTGTATGTTTATGACATACAGTAGGCCACTACAGTAAGCACACAGGCTAACAAAAGATGAAAAAACAATTGCCTTAAGAGCTGGTCTCAACAAAAACTATCCCATACTGATACATACATCTCCATGTACAAACTGTTAAAACCAAAGTGTGTTGAAGACTAGAAACTACAGGGTGTTGGAAGAAAAGGGTGTCAAATCATAGGGGTATCAAGTCAAGCAATCACCATGCCTTTCAACCAGGATGAAAACACAGTTCAATCACCAAAGTCTCCTCTACTTAATCTAATAAATATATTACACTTCCAGGCTCATTTTAAATACCAGTTTCAGTTTAGAATTAATATCTATCTTTTCCTCCTATTCCACATTTACTAAAACTTTATAATAACCACTTAAAACGCCCTTTCGTTTACCCACACATTGTGAACAATTTCTTTGTATACAGACCACAATTTCTAACTATGGACACACAGTCCTAATACCGTCAACCTATTCTTTTTACAAACTTGCCTTTTCTCAATCGTTAGAAACGTATTATCTTACACTTTCTATGAAAATTTAAGATAAAAGTATCATCTCTCAGGCAAGATCTAGTTTACAACTAGTGAAACAATGTACAATTTTTAATGCAGCGATGGTCCTGCCATTCCTCCTCATCTCCTACTTTTAAATTTCTGTCCAGAATTCTCCTCTTGCTTCTGAAAATTACCTTGGTATGTTATCTTATTATGTTTCGGGAAAAGATGTTAATTTTCATAACAAACTGTAATCGCATGGAATAGACATTTATTACTGATGCTTGCATGGATGTCTCTTGAAACTAAAAGCATACGCAGGCAGCTTTGCACAGAGAGTAACCAATGACTTGTCTGATTTTTATTTTTTTATAAAAAACACAAAATCTGAAAAGTCTTTAGGACAAGTCACTACGTGTATGGGTATGGTAAAAAGGGAAATCTACACACACACAAATAACAATTGTTTGTTTTAGGCTATTTTCAACTTGTCATCAGAGAGTAACCAATGACTTGTCTGATTTTTATTTTTTTATAAAAAACACAAAATCTGAAAAGTCTTTAGGACAAGTCACTACGTGTATGGGTATGGTAAAAAGGGAAATCTACACACACACAAATAACAATTGTTTGTTTTAGGCTATTTTCAACTTGTCATCAGACTGGGGTTCTGTGGGATATATTTTGGTAGAAGTACTTGTGACGAAACCATACTATAAGATCTGTGCTAATTGCCCTCAAATGGGAACGTATTTGTATTAAGCAAAACAAGAAGAGCATTCTGTATAGGCTATTTTGTTGAATACTTAGGAAATAATTTGAATATATTCATGCATGCTACCTAAATATGTTGTATCGGCATATATGCTTCATGTGTTTTTGGACATTATTTGGTGAAATATTAATTTCCATGTTTGTATTCATGTTTTTGATAATTATTTCAAACTTGCTTTCGATTTAGTAAAAATGATGTGGACAAGTTTAAATGCTCTGTAGACACAAATTGGCAGTTTTAGGTATCCATGATTCTATGTAAATTTCTGTGTCAAATTTGATATTGGTTAATCTTGGGATTGCTGTGCAAATAAAATAATTTGTCTTAACTTTTGAACTATTCTTTAATATTATTAAATGTTATCATGTGTAAGGTGTTAACAGAGAAGAAGGCAAAGAAATGTAAAATACCTTGTTGTAGACTAAGGGGTTATTGAAGATTTTGTATCCCCAACTAAAAAGGCTAAACATGATTAAGACAATCTATTTTAAATGCTACTGCATTGCATATATATTGCAACATATTGTAAATTACAAATTGTTTTGTGCCAACTGATTTTTTTTCCTATCAGAAAAGAATAAAAGGGGAAAAGGGTAAGACCTTATTTTCTGTTGGAAACATTTATTAGTCAGAGTATAAAACCATTACAAAAATACAAGATTCAATTAAGAAATCTCTGCATTTTTATTGATTTTTCCTCTCCTATTTATTTTCTATGAATATACAACTGAATGCCTCGATTTCAACGAATGAACAAATACAACATAATAACATTCATACATTTCAACCTCACATTTAAATTTTTGTGCTACTTAATTTTGACGAAACCTTACGCTCATTTGATTTTCCTGAGAAATTGCATGTAAGCATTTTCAAAGCATCAACAAGAAATATTTAAAAAGGTACATATTCAAATTGTCAAAATGCTCATGAAATTCTAGAAATTGAAGATGGTTAATTTGCACTGAGTGAAATTCATAACACATAGAGTCAATAATTCCATGTTTAAAGTGGAATTGCAAGCAAGAATATTAATTTTTTATAAAGGCAAATATTTCATTTTTGGAATCTTAAAATTTATAAATTATATTTTGGTTTTTAGAAAGGACATTCAATTACTAAGCAAAGTGCAAAATATCCACCTCCTATTTTCAATCAGAAAGACTACTTCTCGAACCTCTAGGACTCTTTTTGGGTGTTGTCTTTGGGCTCTCCTCCATCTCTTCCTCCTCCTCCTCTGGTTCGCTCCCTTCGTCAAAAGAATCTTCCTCTTCCTCCTCTTCACTGTCCAAATCACTATCCTCAACACCTTTCTGCTGGAAGTTTATCTTCACAAGAAGTCTCTGAAATTTCTGCTGCTTGCTCGCTTTCACACTTGCCTTTTCAGGAGGTGGTTTTCTCACAAGCCGCAGCTTTTTCTCTTTCTGTTTATGAAGCGTGGCACTTTTTGATGGGCTCCTCTTCTTCTTTTCCTTCACAGCTTTAACCTTTTCTACTTTTGCTTTCTTTGCAATTTCTTTTTTATCTGCTGAGCTCAGTCGCTTTGTAGGTGTCTTGGAAGGCGAACGCTTGGCCGGTCTCGTTTCTGATTTAGTTGGCACTCTCAGTGCAGCGGGTATAGCACTGGGTTTGAGATTCTTAGGTTTGAAAATAAAGTCTGCGCTTGTATAGGTTGAATTTGTTTTCTCAAGGTGATCGGCCACTTCCTTCATAGACCTTAATCGCTTTCCCTCCGGACTGAAAAACAATTGCACAAGATAATATGGATGAAATGCATCAGTGACAAGAAAGAATACACTATGAGTATCTCACATCATTATGGCATGTTGTATCAATTGGTTCCCAGTTATATGATTCATCGGCTAAGCACTCTCTTCCTGACATCATACAGTCAGGAAATATTGCCAAGAATGGTGCAATATCCATACTGTGCAACACACACAGTGATGGCTCAATAATAAATAACATGTGTTGTGCCGGCTACATATCAATCTGGATGACAATAAAGAATCTCTTTTTTAATCAAAAATCCTCTACTTGGAATTTGGAAATATGGAAGATAATGAATTGATAAATAGAATCCCAGGACTCCCAAAGGTCAAAGTTGAAGTTGAAAGTTCAAATGACACATCCTGAGTGATTCATTCCCATTGTACCAGTTGGATATCAGCCAAATTTTACAGAAGCACATGTACAGGCATTGCTGTTAAAGTGACTCAGTAACATTGCCTCAGATTCTGAAACAAAATCCTGGATTTAGCTCATGCTGCAATCATAATCATAAACCTTTAGGTAAGTCAGGAATCCCATGACTTTTACAAGCCAATCGCCTGTCTGATTATCAAGATATTTATGATTGGAAATCAAAATTTCATTTTTCATTTTCCTAATGGTTTTTGTAACACTAAAGTCTATTGGGGAAAATGAGTACCGGTATGGTAAAACCGGTTACTCAAAGATTTTGACTTTTTTGAGGCACTTCATGATCATTTAGAAGCGCAATTTTTTAAGGGCCTCAATGTTACACCATGTCACAGACACTGATAACACATAGGGCCATGCATCTCAGATTTAACATTGTTAAGCAATGCCTTTAAGAGAAAATTTGTCCATAAAAGAGTCATAGGAATCATCTAAGACAAGTGCTTTGAACACTCAACCCAAAAAATACAAGTAAGGCATTGGCATTTTCCATATCGTATCAGGAAAATTACCCCCTGGACAATCCATCCCTCCCCCTCCAGAAAAATACCCCCAAGGACAACCACACCCCCAGGACAATTACCACCCCCCCCCCCCCTCGAAAAACTCTGCTTTCATCAAAACCAACTTATTATCAGGGTGGACTTTCCATGTAATAAACAGGGAGGTAATTTTAATTTTTCTGGAGAGTGGGGGGGGGGGGGGGGGGGGGGGGGGGGGGTAATTGTCCATGTTTTTTTTTTTTGGGGGGGGGGGGTAATTGTTCTAGAACCATGTATCATCAAGTTTGTATATTAACAGACATGGTGCAATGACTTCCAAATTTCCAAGAAAATTTAAATAATCTATTGAGCTATATATTTTTTACAAAAAAATCAAGCCAGAAGATTTAAAAAGATTCCTCAATTGTGCTGTGGCTTAGAATACCAGTTTCACTAAAAGTTTGAATGAAATTCTTTTAAAGCTCATGATATCCGGGTGACCTGACATATGCTTTTGGGCTTACTTTGCCCAGGTTATAGGGTTAGGGTTAGGTAAGGTTTAACCTGAGGGTTGAAGTTAGATATTCCATTACCAGTGTAGAAAACTGATTGTGTAGCGAATATTGCAGGACCATGTGTCAAAATACCAATTTGAAATGTCCCAATTACCTGGTGAGGTACACATCAAATTTTCCAGCAGATGCCCCAGACATTCTTTCTGTGATCTTCCGCGTCCATCCTGTGGGTAGGCCAAATGTAATGGGATCTATCGTGGGCTCCTCTTCTACATCCAGTGTCTCATCTTCAGCAGGAGCAGGCGTAGGTACCGGTTCTTCCTCTGCAAGCGACACTTTCCTCTTCTTCAAGGGCGTTGATACCTGTCTTTTGTACTCTGGCTTCTCCTTCTTGTCTTCATGATGTTCTTTAGGAGGTGATTTTCCCTCATCGATGACTAGCTCATCTTCATCATCTTCATCATCATCATCATCATTTTTATTGCCATTTTTATCCTCGAGCTTGGGTTCAGTTTTCCCCTTAAAACTTGAGGATGTCAGAGGACTTATTTTACACAACCCAATGGCTTCATCACTTGATTCTGAAGATCGAGATCTGTTTGTGATTAAAAAATAAATGAATAAACAAAATAAAGAAGTAAGATGTAATTAAGTTTTGAGAAATTACATTTTGATCATTGATTATTATATTCTACAAAAAAACTTAAAATTAAAATCTATTAAAATCAATTCATACCAAGTGAAAAGGAAAATTTCACACTAAAAGAGCGAGGATTGAAAGCATAACGGTGTAAAAACTTGTGAATATGAGCTTACAGAACAAGCGGTTGTTGACTTTAAAGGTGAAGTGGAAAAATCATCAGAAAAAAGTGGCAAAATTCTCGGATAGGAAGTTAAATGGCCAATTGAGGCCCTGTGTGTACTTCAGTAGGTGTCTGAACGATTTTTCAATTTTCAATTTGGGATCGTTTTTCACCATTGTTGGATATTTGAATAAAAAATGTAATCAGATTAATAAATTTCAAATTTCAAGACTCACCGATGTTTCTATCAAAAGATACAGCCCCTCAAAAACTCTGCAATATAGCATTTTGGTCAGAATGGACAAAAAAGTGGTTCATGCCGAGCTATCATTTTTTGCTAAACAGCTGCATTCTAATGCATTAGGTGATATGCAAAAAGTGGGGGAAGGGTATTTTCAAACTTAAATCGTATGTGATCCCTTGGGGCTAGCAAAAAAAAAAAGGACATCAAAATATTCCTTATGACTTGAACTAATTATCCCTCGGGAGGTCAATTCTCAAAAGTGGGAAATCTCCCGAGTTGCCATGGAAACAACATTTAAATCGTTGTTTTGACAAGATATTTTTAGAAATCTGAAATGACCCCCCTTAGAAAATATGGGGATTAATCTGCCCTTTCATATGACACCTCATTTATTGAGTATCACCTTCAGGATCACAACAGATAAAGGTTTGAATCTAAATTTATTTTTTAAAAGTTGACCAATTTTGCAATGCACATGCATGATTTTCTAGACTGCATAGGGATGTGTGCAATGTCTATGGGAAGGGTTTTACTTTTAGCACACAAAACCTGGTGTGCGATCAGAAAACTACTAGATCTAACTTTAGACCTACATAATCTATGTGTCTAGAGCCACCACCTTAAGAACCCACTGCACTATTCGTATATTTATAATATTAGGGTGTCTGATCGCGCACCCGATGTTGTGTGCTAAAATCTTTCCCATAGAGATTGCACACATCCCTATGTGGTCTACATGCATTGCGCGACCAAGCAAAATTGGTCTATGATTTTATGAAAAATTTGAAATTCAAACCTTTATAACAAATGATCCTGAAGGTGAAACTCAATAAATGTGGTGTCATATGAAAGAGCAGCTTTTTCTCCATATTCCCCATAGGGGGCCACCCCCGGAATTCTAAATATATCTTGCTCAAAACAGCGATTTAAACATCGTTTCCATGGTAACTCGGAGATTTACCAATTTCACGAACTGCCCCCCCGAGGGATAAGTTGGGCCAGCTGTAAAGAATATATCCATGCACTTATATTTTCTCTAGTCCCAAGGGATCATTTGTTACAACAGTTTGAAAATACCCTTGCTCCACGCTTTGCATATCGTGCTGTGCATTAGCTGTGCAGCTTTTGAGCAGAAATTATAACTCTGCGTGAACCACTTTTCTGTCCATTCTGACCAAAATGCTATGAATATTGCACAGTTTTTGAGGGGCTGTATCTTTTGATAGAAACATCGGTGAGTCTTGAAATTTGAAAGGTATTATTCTGATTACATTTTTTACTCCAATATCCAACAAAAATGGTGAAAAACGATCCCAAATTGAAAATTGAAAAATCGTTCAGACACCCTAATAATATTGTAGTCTAAAGATCCACCAGCACACCCACATACAGTTTTACCGGAAGGAAAGACCCAAGGGTTAAACTAATCTTCGCGTTTTGCCTCCAATTGAAGCCGATATTAAATGATAAGAAAATGTCTTAGACTCTAGATCTTATTCAATTTCAATTTTGACTTCAGAAAGTTCAGTTTCACCTCAATCAAGATTCAACATTCACATAGTCTAGGGCTAGGCCTAGATTATGCAGGCACGTGTGTGTGTACACATTCAAATACCAGTGGCTATTTCACGAAAAGGCCCTATACATATCGAACACTAATTTTAACTGGTTTGATAGAGTCTGTGTCAAATTAAAATTTAAATTAAATGAATGCTACGATACCGATAAAGACCCACAATACAACCAACGAGTGGGACTGTAAGAATCCTGTGAATAGGAAAAAGAACAGTCCGTAAACATGTCAATTTTTAAGATTAAAATTAAAAAGACACCACGTTATATTACAGATAATGGTAGGAATACGAATGATCATAGTGGGCAAAGTATTTCATAACATTTATTATGATGTTAAAAGTTAAATAATTACCCCGAATCCTGTGCTATTTTTGCAGCTTCTGATTCCTTGAGCGCCATTTCGAAAGTTAACAACGCCCTCTACGTGTGGTTTCTTTCTGGGACAAAAAACACAGTGGCCAAAAATGTGGGAATTTGGGGCACTGCACTGAACCTTGCGATGACGTTTGGCACCACCCTTTCCGAGTCCCTTTCCTCCTTTTCCTCGACCTGACTAAATTTTCTCACATTAATTCGAACCATTGTTTTGATAGGCCTGGACTGGAACATTTTTAAACAAACGGAGCTATAATCGAGGGCGTTGGCGGGGAAGGGCATAAATTGAGTGGATATCAACTTAATTATCAAGGAACAATATCAGCCCCATGGTTTGGGCATGTAACTAGATGGAAAAATAGCTTGGCAAACACCATCTTGAAAGGAGAAACTGGAAAAGAAGGAGGGGGCATACCAACTAAAGCACGGACTGATAACATCAAGCAGTGGATGGGCGTGTCATTTGGGCTAGAAGAGCTGAAGACAGGAAATTATGGGCCTGTGACTCAAGGGATAGATAGGTGACATATTGATTAAAATTTGGGGCATATATAAAAGTCTTTGGTTACCACAACTTTTTTTTTAAATAGCCCCATTTTGTGGCAAAATCAATATTCCCGATTCGGTAAAACTATTAGGAGCATGGCTCGCCCATTTAAGAGAGAGAGAGAGAGAGAGAGAGAGAGAGAGAGAGAGAGAGAGAGAAGGATTTTTTTTGGGGGGGGGGGGGCTGGGCTGAGGAGAGGATGTAACGAACAGGCCTATCCATCTAGAAAGATCAGATGGAAACTGCCCCCTACCCTAGCCCCCGCTGCATACAGTCATAGTTTAGTGACAAAGCAATGGCCTCGTAACCGGAGGATCAAAGCCGTGTCGATGTGCTATATTAGTGCCATTTTGTGGGGCATTAATCCTCATTACTGTCATTTGTGACTTGAGGGCGTAGGTCCCCTAGTTGATAAGCATAGTAGCATACACATGCTTTAGCAGTCCCGCAAAACACACAATGGCAAATTATTATTCAATAAAATCTGAGAATGTATACTATTATCTAAATCTATTATTTTTTAATTATTTTAAAATAATTCCATAAATTGGGGTCAAACTAAGATATTCCAACTTTTTGAGCAACAGTATATATATATATATATATATATATATATATATATACATAACAAATGATAATAAAGAAGAAATATAAGAGTGAGCGAAATTGGTGAAGAAGGATCACACATAGCGGCATAATTATGTGGGATATAGACATTGTTTCCATTACCACAATGTTTTTATTTTTTATCCCTGGATCAGGATCGGGAGGTCTCTAGCTTCGATTATAATTTTGTTTTTAGTAAAAAGGAGTGAAACACTGTTATGTTTTGCTGCTTTTATTTTATTACTTTAGTTGTCGGCTAACCATTTCCATGGTAAACAGTAGAATAGTCATCAATATACAGTTAAACCTGCCTATAGCGACCGCCCAATAGAAACACAAAAAGACAGGTTCCTTTAGTACACGTTTCAGTTAGAAACCTATTTCAAGGGAAACCAAGAGTGGGGTTTTTGTAGACAGGTGGTCACTAAGGCAGGTTTGACCGTACTATAATAGAGAAACACTAAATCGATCGTAACTGATATGTCTATTTAACAATGTTTAACTGGCTGAAAAAATAACATTTTAATATTAAAAAGACTTTCGACATTGAGTATTGCGTATAATCCTTCTTCTTATTCAACTGGAATATACTGTATCCTAGGTGTCCATATTGCCCTTGACTGCGTTAAAAATTGTCTAAAGTCTTTGTGATCGTGTCAATATTCATAATTGCAAAAATAGTATCGATAATTTGGCACTTGAAGTTGAACAAGCCTATCTTGATTATATCAATATCTCGATAAAATGCAAAATATATGCAACAGCTTGTAGGGGTGGATGTTGGGGGTGGACACGTCCCTCCCCCCCCCCCGCCACCTCAATTTTTTCAGGGGGATCGTCCCAAATACTGATGAATAAAAGACTGCAACACACTTTTAGGCCCAAGAGTGTTGCGTTTAGACTTATACAAATGTACGAAAATCTTCTCGCTCGGTCGCTACGCTCCGTCGCATAATATCCTTCAAATAACAGGTAAATATTGTAAAAAAATCTCGCATTTCGTCCATCCGATCATGAATAGAAATCGCCACCCCTGCCAGCTTGTAATCTTGACTTAATTAACCAATATGTTTCAGCACCAGAACTATGAAAAAAAAAAAGGCTGTCGAACAAGTCGTGTCCGGTTCAGATCACAAAGTGCTTGCCTGCTATAAAGTGGATCTAGCCAGTTCAGGATTGAGGACGATTTTGGAGTTATAGCGTCATCTACGTCGTAGCAATAAACGTGTTAAAAATAGAAAATGACATCATGCTTTGTGCCTTGTACCGAGGAAGGAAAGTTGGCCCTCGTAGAGGAGGGGGTGGGTGTGGTTTTCGTATAAAACATGAGTGGGCATGAGTGGGCAAAGGCCTAATGGCGTATTTTGCTCATCTAATAATATTTATTGAGAAAATTTTAATTTTCACTATGTGTATTCTTCCCTCGTGAGTAGGAACAACCTAGTGCCCAAATCTATCAAAATAAACATTTTACAAGTATACCCCCTTTCTTGACATTTTCTTCATCGTTATGGTCGTATAAAATGCTTTATTCTCTCTTCCTTTTGACAATCAGTGGCGCATCCAATCGCGATAAAGTGAGGCCAGCAGACGACCCTCCCCTCCCGTGGGAAATGTCTTCGGAAATAAAATGGAAGTCAAATCAAATCAAATCATTCAGAAGTTCGATAAACCATTTTACAAGTTCTCCCCTCTTATGAATTCCCTTATAACGCATTCATTGCATAATGGTTGGGTCTGCGGGCACGGTCGAATTGGTATTATAATGATAAAGAGATAAAGGCCTTCAAGGCGAAAGGGATAAAAGGAAAGAGATTATAGAGAAAAGAGAAAGAGAAAGAGATAGAGAGAGAGATAGAGATAAGGGGGGGGGGGCAAAATAAGGAGTTTGGTTGTTCAATTTTAATAAACCATGTTGAATTAAAGAACGTCCACCTAGTGCCCCCGCCCCCTCACCTCAGGGCACACGCTATGCCAACGTGACACGGTAAACATCGATCACATACTGCTAGTATATTGTTTTTATGTCGTCAAAATCTGTTTGGACAAATGCTATATGTCTGTTGTTCTGCAGGTCAAGAACACACTATAACCGAGCCTTTTCAATAAGACCTTCGGGGAAAGTATAAACACAATTAAACAATTGGAATTTGGAGGGGATGGTATTATTTTCGCCTTTTTATATTACCATATACTGCTCTTATTTTCCAATCATAGCTCGAATTTCTATTAAAAAAAGACACAGAAAACGACCGTGCTACACAAATTTAGAATACCCTTCGAAAACAAAGGCTACATGTATAAGGAATAAATGTGTACTATAGAAATGATAATGGCAAATTAGGAATGATGCAAAATTAACCACAGATTATTGAATATAAATAATGTCTTGAAAGATACATAATTATGTAGGCCGAGGCGCAGGGCCTGGGGCTGTAGCTCCAAGGAATTTCTAAAGTTCCGATATTTGGGCACTGGCCACCACATCATAATTCGGGCAGGGATTCAGGGAATGCCCGAATATGTAATTTCCAATACAAACAAAGAGTGTTAAAAAATAATGTTTCACGTGAGCGATCCGAGAGTGCATAATGATTTAGAGATTGAAGAGCTGATATTCGGGCAAAAAACATTAGCAAACCATCGTCAAAAATGCACTTATTATATGCCCGTGTCTTAAAAATATCATATCAATCATAAATATTTCATATCAAAAGAAGAAGCAGAAGAAGAAGTGGAGGAAGAAGAACTTAAAGAAAAAGACTGACAATGAAAGAAATGTAGAAATAAATAAATAAAATAGTAAAATTTACAGAAAAAAAGAAAAAGAAATACAGAAAGAAAGAAAAAAAGGAGGAAAAAATAACGGCTAATGAAGAATGAAGGCGTGTGGGACTCACAAGTCAACACATAATTATATAACTAATAGGCCTTAATTTATCTAAGGCAGGAGGAGGAGTGGAAGAAAATGAGAGAGAGAGAGAGGAGGAGCGATTATGATGCCATTCTTGAGCTGGAGGAGATGAGGTGATAGAAGGGGAGGTGGAGGATTAAGTTTTTATACACATAAGAATTTCTCATAATGGCCTTCAAAATGAGGAGAAAGAGGAATAACAATAACGGAGATCTAGCCGGGGCTAATGATGTGATAAAAAAAAGTATATAATTTAAATGGGACTGTTAGTCAGGGCACTGGTCCGTAGGAGGCCCCCTGCACACGGCCCCCAAAATTGTCAAAGTACAAACGAGATGCGATCGACACCTGCCCACTTATGTTAGAAAGGTGAACAGACTATTGCGCAGAGAAATAAAGTAGGTCATCGAGTGTTTTCCATATCCATAAGTTCTGGAGAATCAGAGAATATTTATTTTCTGTCGGGACTGGATGTAATGCTTTGCTTATTTCGTGATATGCTATTTTCTCTGACAAGGCCAATGTTAGATATATCTGTTTTGAAATAAAAGACCTATCAAATAATCCATCCGCGTTGTGGATAGTCTTCGGTTAACGTACAACTTTAACGTATATACAAAATAACGTATAACGTGTGTAGAATCGGTATCGAATACGTAATAAGTATAGGGAAAATGGAGGGCCTACGCAAAACATGACCGAAGTGTGTCCACAAGGCAAGGGGTTGTAAGCAACGTTGGTGTACCCCACTTTGCATGAATTGCCTTGAGTTTCAATAGGACAGCCATTTCATAATAATTCAGGAAATTAGGAACTTCTGGATCACTTACTGGGCAATGGATATGGAAGTGTGACTTTACACCAACTTGTTTCATTGAACATGTCGAATGGATGCAACCCACACAAGACAGACATCGCGTAGAGAAGCAATGCAAATTATGCATTGAAGATGGGAAGGTTTTGCACAGACCACGCAAGTGATTAAACTTCAGAAGCGGTAACGTAGACTCGAACTTTAAAAAAATCATGTAGATTCTACCATAAAATTTCACCAACTCATTCAATTTGTAATTTCTGTAATGATTGACTTGATCTAGATCTCAGAAAGATTTTAAAACAATTGTTTATTCACTCACTCAGACAATTCATTTGACATTGTGATTCATTCATTGTTCATTTGTTGACTGTGTCTGTGATGGTAAATTAGGCTAGATTAATATTATAATATTAAACTGGTGTGAAAAAATGTCTTTTTTGTGATCCAAAAGGAGGGACAGTGATCAGAAATTTGAGACTTCCAAATTTAGAATTATGTTGTGTAGTCTACTATTAATTATGTATTTTTATCGGCAGTGTTCCCTTTGCGATGATCGATATCTTATTAAGAAATAGATCTAAACAAGTTAAGTCTTCTCTCATTCATCTTTTGACTCTTTGTTAAATTTAAATTAAATGATGTCACTTTTCTTTTTTTTTTGCAGAATCGGAACGAAAATCATACCAAGAAAATAAATTAAGATCTACTAAAGACGGAGAATCAGTTCTCACTCCACAAAGTGTCGAGTGAATGACTGAGGGCTCCCAGGCTTGACTTGACCAGCTCTTACCAACTAACACAGTAGACCTGTAGTACTTGTAGATTGTTCAGCCACCTATCCTGCAATGCAAGGGAAGTGGACAACAATTTTTCATCATGGAGGAATACACAATGGAAATACCAATTGAACAGTGTGCTGCATCTGGCAGCAAGCCAATTTGCTACTTGTGCAAGTGTGCAATAGGCAGTGAAAGGGGTATCATTTGGAACACTATAGTGTCCAGGTAGTCCATAAAACTGGATTTTTATCCAGTTTTTGTACCTAAAGCCTAGGCTAGCTCACATTTGATTCTCTCAAGTGAGTAACTTTGTCCTGAGCCCTGCTTGGGACTAATGTAACGGTTGTGTTTGGGTGAACTTAGTTACCAATCACAATGAGTAAGTCAGAGAGCCACAACAGCGGCAGCTCGCTGTCAAACGGAGTTGCGTCGTTGGAGGAAAGAGACACGGACGTCCCACTAAAGAGTCATAGCAGTGAGAGTGTGACTAAGCAAGGCAGCAAAGGCAAGTCTGGTGACACACAGACAGAGGAGGCAGAAGCTGCCGATGCGAGTCACTCGGGTGTAAATGGCGAGTCCAGTATGGGAAACAGCGTCGTGATTTCTAATCGCAGATCTCCTAACTTTTCTGATACTGATGTGAATGTTGAGTCCTTCCACAACGACAAGGTTACAGAAAACTCTGAAAGTGCAGCTGATACAAAACACACAGTAATCAGTGATGAAAGTAGCACCACTGGATATAGCAGTAGATTAGATAGCATCGGTGATAAAGAACTATTAAAAGAAAAAGTGCCTGATACATCTGTTCACTTAGCAAATTCACATCCAAATGGAACTGCTCTGAAGAGCGCCAGAAAAGACAGTAATATGAAGCCAGAAAGGGGTAGAATAGCTTCCGGAAATGGAAAGAAACAAAAGTCAGTTGTAATTATGGCTCCTGTAAAGGATATCACTGAAAATGGTCACATAGAGGTACACAAAGAAGAGAAGGTTGAGCCTTTACAGATACATGAAATGCATGATTCTGAAAGACGTCTCCTAATAGAAACTGAGGAAGCAGAACCAGAAGCAGTGGAAGAAAAAGCCATTGCTAAGTCTGCTGATGGCCGCTTCATGAAGTATGATGTAGCAGTAGGACAAGGTTCCTTCAAGACTGTGTTCAGAGGGTTGGATACAGAGACTGGAGTTGCAGTGGCATGGTGTGAATTGCAGGTATGTACATTTTAATTTGCCTTTCTTCTTGTTTGTTAATATCAGTCTTCTACAAAAGTAACAGGACTAATATTTGTCATTAATTCTGTTATTTTTAAAACGTTATTATACATGTACACTGTGTATATGCTTTAAAGAATACCTAGTTTTATCTTGTATGCATTATACATTACACGTAGTGTGTTCTATTTGCCTCTTACTTAATTTGTTAGTGTTAATTAGGGACAAACTTCTAATGGTCATTTTACTGTGTATAAAGAACATGTGATTTGAGTAAAGGCAACACCGCAGTAGTGTGATTGAAAGTTACTTTTCAGTTCTTGAAATTGAATTGCATCCTTGAGAAGAGGGTTTTTACCAGTTCTGAAATGTCAAATAAACAAACACTTAGTAGAAATTATGTTTAATGAAATGTGCAATTCAGATTTCTTTTTATATATGTTGGGACTTTTACATCATAGTCCAATTCTCCTTTGCTTACAGTGTAGCTAATAAACACTTTGTATTATAATGATTTAAAATTTGACTAGCATCTTTTTTTAATATTTGTAGTCTTGTTGTAGTCTTGAATATTCATTTAAAGTTTTGTTTTGATTCTGTAAAAATATCTGCCATTCGCAGAACTCAGATTACCTTTTACAACTTAAACAAATTAGTTTTTTAGAACTGTCATGTTTTGTACTATTTAGTACTGACAAAATGACACAAGCAACATGGCGCTGGTAGTATACATTGTACAGTTGACTTTGTATTGTAAAGGCTGTTTACACTTGTGTATTGAATGGGAGACTACTGTATGCAGAACATGTTAGAATGATTTTATGTATTTTCATATATAGGCAACATGTCAAAAAGAATGTAGTACTTCTAAACTTTCAAAATAATGCAGATTTTTTTGTGTGTGTTTATTTGTTATTTTATATCAAAGGTAATCCTTGATCCTCTAGTTTGCCATTTATAACAAAGATGTACTCACCAGGAATACTTGTGAACGATGTGAATTTTAGTATGATTCATGGGTGCTACATATATTTTTATCGCACTTGTGGGAAGAATATAAATTCTATTATGAAGTCACTTTTTATTTCCACTTCTAAACAATTCTGGCACATTCCAATGAGATTAGTGGAGATTATAGGGTTATTGTAAGTTTACATAGCTCTCTGTTCAAAGAGGACCAGTGGAGGGAATCACATGCTTTGTTGAACAAACTTACAATAAACAGTATGTTTGTAGGCGGTAAATGGTCCACTGCTTAAAATAAAATTATTGTGTATTGTCATTGGAATGCTTTTTCTTGCAATTTGCCAGATAATTTAAGTCTTCAGAGATTTTTACGATCGTTTCCTAAATAGTGCTAAAGATACATTGATCCCGATCTAGTTAAGATGATTCCAGAAGGGAACAAATAATTTAAACTTACACAGTATTCCTGTTTTTATTTGGTTTTATAAACTGAACTTAATATACATGTACATGTACATGTAAGTAGAACATTAAAGAATTACATGTGATCATATTCAATAGGCTTATCAGGAACCTTACATTCTATGTACTGTAGGCTTGATGAATAGGTATTTGGATATTCTTCTTATCGAGAGAGTCCAGTGGTTGCCAGAGTCAGAATAATGAGGGAGGGCAGTTGATCGTACATTATAAACTATTGAATGTGATTGTCCCCAATAAAAGGCTGTATACTTTAAAGTCTAGATGTAAAGTCTAGATGTAAAGTCTTTAAATGAACAAGGGATAGTAATAATAAAGAGTGAATGCAGTCTGATCGTAAAAAGAAGCATTGAGTATAATACCCATGCAAAAGGCTGTAACTGTAATGTAAGGGTTGAGTTGGAGAGAATTCAGTAAAAATATGACCCATACAAACATGTAAAGGCCTGTAGTATTCATTGTTTATGGCTAAGATTTTAAAAGTTAATTATAAAAAATGACTGAAATTACCAATTTGATTGTGTTTTGCCACGAGACAAATGCCATTGAATTGTGTTTGCATTTATACTTATATGTACCGGTATGTGTATTACCAGTATGTTTTTGTACGTACAAGTACATGGATACATTCGTACATGTCCATGTTATGTACAGTATGGCTACATGAAGGCTACATGTAATAGTGCATGTGTATACATGTACAGCCCACATGTACATATTAATTACAGTGTACATGTAGTGTGTTTAATGTACTGTACATAAATTTACAATTGCTTTTTGATTCAAATGGGAAGTGAACAAAATTTGTACATGTACATGTAGATCATATTTATTAAAAAAAAAAAGAATGGTGTCTATTCACAAGAATACATTACAGTACATTATACAGTACATCAGGCCTTAAATTTCGTCATTTTTAGGGCAAGGCCAGTTTGGCCTCGAGTACCTCATATTTTTAAGGGCACCAAGGCCAAAATATTTTTACAAAAAGGGCATCGAGGCCAAAATATTTTACAAAAAGGGCATCGAGTATGAGGCCAAAAAAATTGATTCTGTTTTTGTTAGATGTCATGTGTATTTTATGAAACTTGTGCAGGATCAATTTCCCATGACTTTTAGCACCAGCTTCTTCACAGAATGTATAGAGGTCTACGGTACATACAAACAAGCAGGCGCGTAGCCACGGGGGGGGGGGGGGGGGGGGGGGGGGAGGGGGGGGGAACGGGGGGCATGTGCCCCCCTAAAATTTCCAGGATCGGTTGAAATTTTGTAGACCCCTTTTTTTTACCTCGATCGATTACATGTGCCCCCCCAAACACCAAACTCTGGCTACGCGCCTGCAAACAAGGCGGCGGCCCGCAAGCCTTAGATTTAGCAGCCAGGAGCAAGGGGCAATTTTTTTTTTTAAGTTGCCCTTTGCCACGGGAATTTACCAGAGCAAGGGGCAATTTTCCAAAAACAGATAGGCCGCTTATCTAATCATAAGTTCAAAGAGAGTCTACAAATTTTAATTTCATAATGTGAATAGATCGAACGATCAATTTAATAACTTTTTAATCTTAACAATATGAACAGGAAAGATTGATTAAGAACATCAAACTTGCACATTAAACAGTATTTTAAAGTAACTAAAAATATTGATGAGCAAATGAATAAATAAATTGTCAATTTCACAAACATCGAAAGTCAGAAGGACTTAATTGGCAAGTTTACCGGGCCGGGTATTCCAAATCAAAATCGCACCTCACACACAAACCTTCCGCCACTCTCTCGGTAGTAGGAGCAAATTTGAAGAAATTATCTTTTTAACTGTTGTAATTATAGAAAGGTCGGCATACATAGGCCTAACTAATGAAATAAGATGTAAAAATGTCCTTATAGACATTCGACAGCTGAAAGTGACACGCTCAGCTCAGTTGCGTAACGTGCATTCACGAAACCAAAATCGTTCCTCGCACACACACTCTCGCCACTTTTGGTGGGAAGCTGTCGGGCTGGAAGTTTGCCAGCGAAACCGATGCACCCTCGGAATTTTACCGGGACTCGAAACGTTCGTCTTGGGAAGCTGGCGGGGTAGCTTTTTGAAGCGAGGTCGGCTGGTGGCAAAATGAGAGTAACTACGATCGAGAACATCGTAGGTGTTCTTAACTTATTAATAAGATAATTCTGAATTCTATTTGAGATAAAATAATAAACTAGGCCTACAAACAAACCTCGACAGATCTCTAATGACTATTTGAATGCTTGTTTATTTCTCCATTTGACGATTTGTTTTCTTGATCCTGGCCTTCGATTTGTACGTACGTGCGTGAGAAGATAGGTACCCCTATATAGGAAGTGTTAATTGGCATTTCCGGTTAATTAGTTAATCCTTCCGGTTAATTAGTTAATCCTTCCGGTGACTTCCGGTAAACAATAGGGGAGTGTTAATGAGTTAATTGGGGTGTCCTTCCGGCGGAAGTTACGTAATGAGGGTACATCCCCTGGAGGAAGTTCTTTTGTTTACATCATTCATTCATTCATGGAGAGGTGGAGGATGGACGTGTGTAGGGTACGAGGGACAAGGACCAAATGACCAAACAATGGGCCACCCGGCATGTATGTTGAATGTGTGTGTTACCGACCAATGAGAATGCGAGGATTTTTTTAGAAAGGAAGTGACCCAAAGTTGGTACTTGTTTGTGATTGGACGAGAGAAAATGGTGAACCTATGGGCAAGTATCATCTAACTGTCGTTGAGTCAACATCGCTTTGTTTTTGTTGTAATACTGGCCAGATTCTATAATGTACCATGATTTCTACATGTGATTTAATGCACAAGCTTCGGGCATGTACATGCCTGGAAGAAGTATCGAGTTTTCGTGAGGAATATTATGAAGACCTTGAACCAGAACAACATGCTTTGGTATTTGCAAGGTCATCCTACTTTTTGAGTTTGCAGGACTTGGAAGATGGTAAGTGCTAATCATATTTATTTATTTATTTTCATATTCATAATTGAATAATTTTGTAGTGTTACCATATCGGGTTTGCATCTGGAATTCAAGAAGGAGATTAAGCATCGAAAATCCATAATAGGCAACGATGTGACATAATGAGTGTTTTTTTTTTTGTTCAATGCAAATTAAATAATGATTGATATCTCCATTTGAAACATAAACTCACGTGTAAGCAAAAAAAAAAAAAAGATTTATAAAGTATTATAAAGTATACGTTCAAATTATAAATTTAATTAAATTATTCAATTATACTTGTAGGGATTACCGATGATGATTTAGTGGATGTGTTCGTCGAGAACCAACAGCCCCCTCTCCCCCTAGCAACGCAGCACCAGCAAGGTCTTCCACATGACGCAGCTACTCCATGGCAACCAAATTTTGATGACGGTTAGTGTATACTTCATTTATATATACATCAATGCAAAGGATCATTGGATGAATGTTCATTTTTTTTTTTTCATGTATGAAGACAACACAATACATTGTAGCGGTTGAATGAAACTTTTTATCCGTTCTTATATATCTTTTTTTTTTTTTTCATAGGCATTTCCGATG